CACAGCTCTATCAGCCACGTTAATCCATAAGCAAGAACTAAATCTTTCTTAAAGAAAAAACACGTTTAACTTATACATAAAGAAGATTAAAGGTTTGATCTTTTACCATGTGCAAATTATTGTAAATTAAGGTTATAACCTTTTAACCATTAAAAATATGTAGACCAACAATTTTATTTATGTTAATATTATACACGATTTTTTGCTTTCAGAATGTATACGGATTCCAAATATTACAATTGTTTTTTATGTGTATTCTCTTAAAAGTGTCAGCAATTTGAATCTATTCTTAGAACGATTGAATTTAAATGATATTAAAATTGCTTGTCTTGGCCTTACTTTCAGTTTGAAATTCATACGATTTATTCAATGACGTTGGTTTTATTTGTTTGGTTAGTTAAAAAAAAATGTTATTGTTTAACTTGTAAATCGCACACTTGTTTATGAAGTAATACAGTGCGAGACATAAATATTTATAAGCACAGACTGCCATTTGCACATATTGCCAAGAGAGAACGACAGTTTGAAAAAGTTTGCAATTTACATTTGTGTGTGGTGTGTGTGTGATATAGACCCGATTTGAATGATTTTAAACGCATTTGCATATAAAATACATATGCTCCCTCTCTCATTCATTCCACCGACACAACTTTTCGACTTTTCACAGGTCCAAAGAAGAAGCGTAAGGCAGAATGAATTTTCAGGCAGCCGTTTTCAACATAAACATTTTGACAGACAGACAACGACTGAGGTGTGGGCAGACATATGCTGAAACAATATATATTTCTATATGAGTACACTACGAAAAATGGAAATTTTTTATTTATTTTAACTATATATCTAAATTAAGAAATTTTAACTGTAAGCTGACTAACAAAAGGGAATAAATCCTAGAAATCAAAAGGTTTACAAATCGAACCAATTGTAGCAAAAAGTATGCAACATTTTTTGGTAACAGAACAGTTAGAAGCATTATTTCAAAATAGCAGACATATGCTGAAACAATATATATTTGCTCACGGGAAAAAAAGGAATTTTAAATTTATTTTGAGTTCTAAGTTCTGTAATTTGCATATTTAAATTATACACAAAGGAGAAACTTTCCTTTGTTCTGAATCCTATAAATTAAAAGCTTTACAATTTGAACCAACTATAGCAAAGGGTAGACCAAAACAGTAAGTAGCTTTTTTCATGTTTAATTAAAAATAAACATTATATTTGATTTAGGAAAAATAGGGCTTGAAATGTATGTGCTTCCCCATTCCTTTTATTCCTGTGTAAATTTAAAAAAGTTCTGCATGTGTTGTGAATTTTTTCATATGCGAACGTGAGTAATTATTCATTTTGGGAGAAGACTTTAAGTGCGATTTCAAAACTGCCAAAAAAGAGAAGAAAAAACGACATCTATTTGTTCCACTCGTATTTAATCCTTTAAGACCCCATGTCTTGCAGAAAATGCAGATGCAGCAGCGACTTAGTTCTGGAGTGTTTATGGATTAACTTGCTGGTTTCCTGGCTATTTTCTCCTCAGCACTTGCAATATGAAAAGTTATCCTCTTGGCCATTTTAACTATTGTATCTAATTTCTGATTTAAGATACGAATGAGTAGTATAGTATAAATATTTTCATAATCAGTTCAGTCAGTCAATTAGAATCCTTATCGCCATCGATAGTCTCTTAATAAACTTCAATCAGATTGATCGTTTTATCGCTCGCTTTTATGAGCCCAAAAAAAAACCCAAAAAAAAATACCAACAAAGCCCGCCGAAAAAAGCAGACAAACAAACGCAACTGAAAGAGACCTTCATGCTTTATGACCATGTTATATACACCTATCCGCGAATCTCCATTTTTCCAACCATTGTTTCCACATTTCTGCCCAAATGCCTCTTTTTGTTTTTGGTTGCAAAAAAAGTTAAGCGCCTTTTGTGGGTCAATCGGCGGAAAAAGATTCTTTGGAATTTGGTTGGCAATTCAGCGAGAATGGAAATTCTGGAGGAGATTATTGAACATCTCAATTTAGTGGAATAGGGTACGAGTTCAAAATCCTGTTACCCCGGATTTTTTGTATTCTATTCTTGCACAGAAAGGAAATGTTTAAATGTTTACATTTTATTGATTGCTGAAATAAGTAATTATAATAAATTTCCTTCACTCAAATTGCAATAAGCTAACGGGTAAAAGAATAAAATGTTTCCACTTAAATCACACTTATATAAAATAAAGGAAACGGAAATCAGGGAAAGGATATAGCATTCCGTGGGAAAACAGAGACGGAAAGTGAAAGCGTTAGCGTAACTGGACATCAGAAAAGCAAAACAAACAAAGATGGTCTATCCACATAAACCAAATATATATATATATATATATATATATACATATATATGGAATACATGTAGTAAAACAATAGGAAAAAAACCACGCCAACAACAAGAGGCCGGGCCGTCGGCATCAACAACAGCGTTTAAATTTCTGTTATAAATAATGAAAAACCAACAAACAAACGGCAAACAAGCAAAATGGTTGTCGAAGAAAACAAAAAAAAAAAAAAAGAAAGCCAGCGCAAAACTGGGCAAAAAATATGAAATGAACTGCATGCAATTCAAGTGAATATCGAAATAGAATCAAAATGTATTGAAATGGCAACAACAAGAGTATAACAGGATGAAACGATATCACAAGGAGCTAATGCTTCGATGTCAATGGAAAATACCAAACAAATAAACAAAGAAAATGAAAACCATTTTTCTGTGTAAATAAGAGGTGAACCAATAAATGATCTAATATTTATATTAAGGCTTTGCATAGCAATGAGTTTTCTAAATGAGACCTTATTAGGGAACTCTAATACTCAAAGGTCCATGTGGTTTTATTAAAAAAAATGTATACTTAATTAATTTCTGAAAACACTTGTATTTAGAAGAAGATAAATGGCAATACAAATTTGGTATTAATAAATCACATATTTTAAGTATAGACCTTTCAACTATGGTTTCTATCAACAGGAATACGTTCCTTTTAGTTTAGCTTTTATTCGCAACGCAGTTTTTACAAAGTCCAGGACATCTGCCAACGAAATCTGTAGTGGAAGCGGAGTGAAGGAAAATTAAATTAACAGGCCCACATCCTCCCACTTCAGGCAGTCCAGTTTTTTTGTTGCCCCTCGCCATCAAAATATTTGTATATATTAGGGGCAAGGAACAAAGAAAAAATGTGGAACAAAACGCCAAAGGACATGGCCGGCATTTTTGATTTTGTTTACATTTGGCATTTTTCATATTTTTTTCGTCTTTCAGTTTCCCGGGGCAAATGACAACCAACGAGAAAACAAAAGTGTAGCATACATTGGAGGATCTGAAAGTACATGGAGAAGGTGAAGCTGAACACTTCAAAGGCAGCGTACTCAAACTCGGGCATTGTGTTTGGAAATTTTCAAAATCGAAATACTTTTTGCATGCTAATGCGTAATTTAAAGTTAAATAAAATCAAAGGGATTGCAATTTTTTAAGTAAAATGTTAAAGAACAATTTGAATTTAATAATAATAGTGATAACTATTAAAAAAGAACTGAGAACTAGAGGTCTTTAACTGAACAGAAAACTTTGCAAATGCAACTACTAACTTAAGCTCTGGGAAACTTGAACATTACAGAACAATTCCCAGGCGAAAAGCAACAATCAAATTCATATGATTCTGCCAACAAAACCAAAATGAAAACAACGATTCCAAGTCCCTGAAAAATAAACTCGTGACAAACAAGAAGAAAGCGAAAAGGGCGCCAAGGAAAATGGAGGTGCTGGAGGATGAGGATGAGCATAAAGGGAGGCCACCAGGCAGATGTTACCCTCTTAGCGAAATATAAGGACACCGATGTCCTCGGGCCGCACCAAACTGTGTATGCGACGGTGCACAGATAAAAACTACAGGATTATAGTTCAGAAACTCTTTTTGGTAATGTTTTCGAATTAGAGTTAAGAAAAAGGGTTTTATAGGAAAAATAACGATACATAATTATCGTGTCGATATTGTTCGATAATAATATCGCTATTATATATTGTAATACTTTTGCAATTTATTGATTGATACCTACATCGACACAAATACATTTTTGTAAAATAATAAAGAAGTAAAAATGTTAATACTTTTTTTTTATTTTTTTATTTTTAACGATTATTTTCAGTATTTTCAGCAAAGAATCCAATCCGAAATTTTGGTTGGTATAGGACTTTTCCTTTCTCGTCCTTCTGGTAATATACAAGTTTTTAACTTTAATATGCCAGCTAAAAAACTACTTGTAAATTAACGAGCAGACGACGGTTTTCTAGAACATTAAAATAAAAGGCAAAGTCTTTAGGCAGTTTTGAGATAACCGAAATAATTTGCCCAGTGTATGGTGTGGGTATACATAGAATGTGAGGGGAGAAAATACCAAATTGTAGGCAAAGACGTGAGTTGTCTAAGCGTCTGTCTGGCACAATCAAAACAAGAAGCCGTCAACCGGGCCAACGCAATTCTAATTAACTGCCAGATACACAAGGACACTCGCACACCCAAGTGGAAATGAATGGTGGCGGATAGGGTGGCCCCTTGCCCAAGTCGGCGTTTTTAATCCACAAATTAAATCGAAACCTCGAAAATCCAGACAGCAAAAAGCCCAACTAGCGAAGGGTATCCTAAGTACTTTGGGTTACTAATGCGCAGTAAAAGGCACTAAAAAGCAAGCTTTCCTCAAGTGTCCGCTTTACTTTCTCTTGCGCAGCTATGTATGTGTGTACCTTTGCATCCACTATGTGTCTCGCTCGTGTACTCAACATTAATTGTAATCGCAATAGCATTTGTAATTGCAAATGACATAAGTAAGAGCTACAGAGCGATGATAATGATAATGATAACAACGATAAAAACGGAAACAATGAAAGCAACAACACAGCAATGGCAGTGCCAACAACTTAATGACAACGGAATTGAGTTTGGTTTCACTGGTCCCAAAGCTTCTCACCTGTTAGTGGTGATGTCCTTAGATCACATGTACCGTTCGGCTCCGAACCCTCGTGGATAACATTCCTGGCTTTAGGTCCTTAGAGTTTAGTTTTAATAACATATATTGGTCTATCGGCATAGCTTCGACACGGGTGATTTTACAACGTACGATTTCGATATTTTCGATAAATTATCGTCTCTGTTTAATTAGGTTTTATAGTTTGTATTTATATTGAGTTTGGTTTTAGATTCGATCTGATTTTGGTTTAATATTCAATATTCAAGTCTGCATTTGAATAATGTATAGTTGTTTGGGGTGTTATATAGATTTCTTCGATTCAGTATCGATTCAATTAAATTCGATAGGTTTGATCGATTAATTCGATATTTTAGGGTTTAAAATTAAATATTTTCTAAGCCGATGTCTTCAAGAAACGATCGTCCCAATTGGATTTCAAAATCTTCACCATTTACTCCGATAAATCAGAATTTGGCTTGTTTTTCTTTTTTAATCGAAGCAGCTCGATCAAATATCGGGTTATCAGTTTAATCTGATATCGATCCCTGTAGTATCGATCAAGTATAGGGTGCATTTTGAAGTTCCTTTAGTTTTTGCATTGGTTTCAAGGTATATGTAAATTTATAATTATATTTAAATAGTTGTTCTCTTAAATTCTTTTTTGGGTTTACTTAATAATAATCGGCGTACTTTTAATAGCTTTCCTCAAATGTTTTTTTTAATGAATTGGTTATATGTGATTGCATAGAAGTAAGTTCGATTTGGTGTCTTTTCAATACTCTTGATCAATTAGATTTTAGTGATCGTGTACACCAAACACAAAGCTTAATGGTATATTTTTTTGATCTTCTTGGATCGATTTTGACTTGAAACATTAATAAATTTATATTTTTCTTGAATATGTTTGAATAAAGTTTGAATTATATTTGTATATTGTGATCGGCTTTGATTTCTTAAAGTCACAATCATAAAGATTTTGCAGACTTAATTTAGAATTTATTTTTTAGTGAATAAATAATGATACTAACAACAATAATTTGACTGATTACTGTGATAATATATAATATACTTGCTACTCGATTAAAATTTCCATACAGAGGATGGTATGATCAAATTCTGATCTTTAATTTGATTCCCATAGATTTTGATTTGAGAGTTCTTCGATTCCTTCGTTGATGGTTAACTTCGACGTCGATTTCCAAAATTTTGATTGATTCTGATGGTTTACACTTTGTATTTTCGTAAGTACATATGTTTTACTGATATGTAAACTGCGGCAACAGGAAAAAAATTTAAAAAATATGACATTTTTAATTTCAATTATACACTTTAAACAAACACCCGGCCTAGGCACTGAAAACGCTTCCTTGACACTTGTAACACAGCCAAAAAAATAAAACCCTTTAAAAGCCACAGCAGTTATTCATTTCTTGGCACTATTTTTATCAAAAAGTATTCACATTTAAAAGTTTTTCAAATTTTGTACTGATTTTTTGGCGCCCAAATGATTTTTTTTTGGCGCCAAACTGGTGCTGCTGTGGCTTGTAATTCTCCTGTGGCAGTGCCAACGAACCGTTTCCAAACACTTTCGACCGCTGACTGGGAGCCGCCGCCGCTGAGCGCCTTCATTTAAACCTTTTGCCCTCGGGTTTTGCCCGACGAGCTACAGTCATGTGCAATAAAATAAGGACACTGATTAACGTTCTAGAGGAAGAACCCCAAAATGACTACTCTAAAAAAAAAGTATATGAAATTTTTCAATTGCTTAAAATTAATTGGTGTAATAATTTGCTTAGATGTTTGTTTCGCCTTGTGAATATATAAAATAATTTTAATGTGTGTTTTTAAATTATTAATTTACTAAAAAAAAAAACCCTACCTATTAATTGAGTTTATTTGTGTTTATTTTCCACTAGACATTTATTAAAGTAAATAATAGAAATAGTTTTGCACATCTTAGAAAACACTTTTAATGCAGACAGACGTCCCTATTGATTTTCATATGACTGTATAAATCGAAAATGCCGAGTCCAGGCGGCTCGGAAAAGCTTTGGCAGCTCCCACTCAAAAGCATTTTCTTTTATTTGCGGCTTACTGAGCTGGTTCGCGGCCAGGAAAAGCGTTAGCTTCCACGTATCCGTATGACGGGGCGGAAAAGCGGTGGAAAAGCCACTTGTTGAGGCCAGCAGAGAGCTTTTTAATTGCCAACCGAAGCCCAAAGCTGATCGCTAAATGTGTTTTTTTTTTACAAATTAATTTAAATCATACAATAAATAATAATTAAAATTTATATATCTGTTTTCGTCGGACTTCTAGGGTTTTAAAGACTCTATTATGATGCAGAAATTTAAACTGAGTGTAAAATGTTTAAAACTAGAGCAAATGAAAGTTGTATTCAAAAGTATTTGAAAAAAATTATCTACATTAATATATTAATATGACAACAGGTCATTTATTTGTTTTGAACAGTAGCTCAAACGAAAATAAATATAAACAAAATGTATTTATATTTCAACTCAATTAATAATAATTTACTCAATAGAATAGAATTTATAGAATTTCGTGACACTCCCGAATATGTCTCGTGTTGCGTTTCTCTTGCCACAAATCTCAAAACCTTAAAACCCGAACCATTTTCCAATTAAACGGAACAAACTTCTGTTTGTGATGCGAATTAATTCCTCGATTAACCAAGAGTGTGTCTACTTATGTATGCAAATATGTACCTTTTGGAGACTCGTGGAATTGTCGTAGTTTCAATCCTACTGCTTCTGCCCTCATCCACATCCTCATCCTCATAAACATTCACACATCCTGAGCGAACACAACTCTTTTTACTTTCACGAGTTGAATACATTTTTTTTGTGAATGGAACGTAAACATCGCCATCACCTGCGTTTTCACACTGAGAAAAATATAAAGTGTTAAAATAAGATTGATCGAAATATAAACATTGAATGAATTAGCAAACCAATTATAAAACTATAAACAATAAAGTTAAAGATACGTCTCAATATTCAAATTATAGGGAATTATGGGACATAGGAAAAGCTATTTGAGGTAACGAATAATTTGTTTTTAATTGATTATTAAATATTATAATTTTTTAGTGATAATAGAAAACGTTTTTAATTGTCATCATATACTCATTTAAACATAAACGATTTATAGGTCTTAAAATGTACTTTTATATGATTGAAAATTTAGATTTAAAATACTAGGATTTTTGTTACGTCTTGAGAGGTTTTTTTTTTTTGGAAAATATGTACTATACTACAATAGATATTATTCTTACCAGCCGATTATTTCGCTCCATGCAGCTTAGACTTGGTTTGCAGGTTGTAATCCCTGCAATCCTGTGCCCGCGAAAAAGTTAAAGGATGACCGGGTTCAGTGGCCACCAGTCCAAAGTTTCCCAGACGATGGCTTCCGCCCGGTGGCTTACAGTGTGTCAAATAAGTATATATCCATTGCTTTATTCTCTTGCTCTATACATACATTTGGTTTGCCGCTGCTTGTGTTTGAGTGAGTGAATGTTTTTTGTGTGGCTGGGTGAGTTGTTAAGTAATTTGTGCAAAATTTAATTAAAGCTAAGTTATCTCTATAAGTATATATGTGTGTAATGTTCAATGTGTGTCTACAGTGCGTTTCAGAACCATAAGAAAATTGCGCAGTTAAGTTAAAGCCATAATCCACTTAACAAAGTTGCTTAAAAAATATACAAAGAATATTTGGGAGCTGTCATCTTACAAATTAAATCGATTTAAGGTACCTATGTTTCGAGTAAGCTTAATTATAATAAACTAGGTTCGAATTTAATTTGCTTTCTAAATACATTTTGATAATATTGAAAAATATAAGTTCTCAAAATGTAAATGTATAACTCAAAAAATTAAGGTCGCTTAATATACGTTTTAGCAAATGGAGATATTGATTAAGGTAAGTTTTCGTTCCGGTTACGAGAAATAACTTCTTATAGCTATGACACGCACTATATAAGCTAGGGTGGCTCGATTTTAACAAATGCCAATAGAAGAGAAGCATATATAACATTTATTGCTTTATTATACTAAGGAGTTTAAAAAGAGTTTTGACTTTATATAAAAGAATTTACGTGTGGTTTTCTTATTGAAAAATGAAAGCAAACATGTGACCTATGGTCCTATAAAGTTAAATATCCTTTGTTAAGAATTGAGATATTGCAACGTGATTTTAGAACTTTGAGCTTGCGTTTAAAACCGATCCACCCTGAGTTACACACTCGTGTGTTTGCACTTATTTCTTTTTGCCAAATGGGCGGGCTGCTATCTATCGAATACTTTGGGGTCACTAACTGGGCGGCAATTGGATTGCGAATCGCTCAGGATCGGATCGGATCGGATCGGATCGGGTGATCGATCAGAACATGCCGTCCGATCGGGCCACGGGTATGAGCACGATGAGAAAGATGACGAAGTTGCGCATGACCAGGCGCCAGTCGCTGGGCACGGCATAGGGCAGCAGGATTTGGGTGAGCCGGTGCACCTCGTGCGAGGCGCACACAAAGATGAACGACGTGATGATCATGTTGAGCGTGGGGAAGCCGGGCAGCAGGACCAGTACCCCATGTCGATCGGCGGCCAGCCAAATGTGATACTGGCAGACGAACAGCTCCAGCGAGATGCGGCCAAACCAGGCGAAGAACGCCGAGTAGCGGGTGCGCAGGATGCCCGAGATGTTCCGCAGGACCACATAGCCGACAATCGGTATGAACAGGATGTACGAGTGGATCTCCTCGCAGTTCTGCACGTTGCGGCAGAGGAACGAGAACGAGGTGTACACGCCAACGCCCAGCAGTGCCAGCAATGTGACCGATATGGAGGTTCTCCGCGAGAACAGATTCCCATGATTGTTGTCGTCGAACACATTGTACTTCTGGGCAATGTGAAAGCAGGCGGCATAGATCATGCCAAAGGCCACCGTATACCGGTCCAATTTCCACTGATGCCACCACTCGTGCAGATCGTCGTCCGTCGTCACGAACAGCGCCTTCCAGGGACGCGTCACGAAGATGCGCTCGAAGAAGACCTCCGACATGAAGAGCACCGTGATGCCGCCCAAGCAGCCAATGCACTTGCACACCAGATACAGATAGTGCAGCGGATTGGCGTCCACGGAGGCCGAGGATATGCGTGGCGGCAGCGCCAGCACAAAGTAAACAACGCACAGCCAGAACGAGAGCAGTGGCACAAAGTAGTAGAACTGATAGGGCCTGTTCATGCAGAAGCACAGCAGCACACTGAGAAAGTTCGCCCGGAACATGGCCTGAAAGAAGCGCACGAACAGCGATCCATTGCCACCCGTTTGCCAGAGGTGCGTGAAGTGCATATAGCCGGTGAGGAAGAAATAGCCGGAGATGAGCAGCTTGATGTGCATGTGTATGGGCAGCACACGCTGCGCTCCGGTCATGTAGTATATCAGCACCACCAGTAGTATCCAGCCACGCAGCTCGTCTGTCTGATCGCGATTCAGGACTTTGGTGAACCGCGAGTCCTCCGTGAAGAACAGGCCCAATGCGAAGACATAGCCCACCGGTATCCAGAAGCTGAACTCCGAATAGTATTTGTTCTCCTTCATAAAGAAATTGGTGCGATCGCAGAGGTAGAAATAGGCCAGTATAAGGCCAAGTAGTGATAGTGCCACCATGGGTGTGCCATAGTCGGTCATCAGGGCGGATAAGGCATTGCTAGGTGCTCCTCCATTGGATTGCTGCTGGTGCTGATGCTGATGCTGCTGCTGCTGTTGCTGCTGCAATGGCACATATAGGGTCTGGCCACGCAGGTGGAGCAGCCATCTGCGCAGGCACATCCCGCACACGAGGGTCATGCAGACGCCAAAGAGGGCGTAGGCGACGATTTGGAGCGTGGTGTGCGGCTCGGCGCTGCTGCAGCAGGTTCCATCATTGTAGTTCATATAGTCGTTGCAGTACATGTTCCACAGCAACTGAACCTCCAGCCGCTGGCCATGGGCGCACAGTTGATGGCCATCGATGGCGTTGTCGAGCAGACCGTTGGCTATGTGCCAGGCGGATTCCCAAACGGTGGCCTCCGTGTAGCGGAAAACACCCCTGGCCACATGATTCAAGCGATCCAAGTGCTCGTTCTGCAGTAGCTTCCAATGCGACGGTAATTTCTCCTCGTCCACGCGATCGGCCAGCTTCCAGAGGACCCGCGATGTTTGTGCCACCAGGCGATGGAATGGGGCCACCAGCAGGGTGAGATTGGCGGCATACTGACGCAACACATCGTCGGTGGTGTTGCCGGCCAGCAAACTGGCATAGGTGAAGCCCACCACGTACACGGAGGACAACTGCTTCTCGGCCTCCAGACGGTACAGCTGCTCCACCAGCGTCGGACTCACCTCCTCCGCCCGTATGTACTGGGCCAGCATGTGCAGTTTCTTGTCCTCGAAACGAGCGGATCCGTCCGCCACCGAGGCATTGTTGTCCTCCTCATCGGGCACCTCGTCGGCGGCCAACGGCAGACGCAGTTGCTCCACAAAACGCTCGTAGAGCAGCCGCACACTCTCGTCGCCAATGAAGACAAAATTGTTCTTGTTGTCGAAGAAGGCCAAGTAACGCAAGCAGCGCCGGGTGTCACTGTAAATGACACGAATTTCGGTTAGACTCATGGTGACTCATTAATTGGGGGCTGGGTTATGTGGGTTATATGGGTTATCTGTGTTGATTACTCACGTGAGGGAGTACTTGTGCACCATGCAGCCGTACGGCTGCCACTCGTTGTCGCCCTTGAAACGGCCCTTGGACAGCAGCCACTGGCAGGAGTCACTGCCTGCGGGAGTATGGGCAAACGGAACAAATCAATATCCGTAGGGGGAGTGAACACGAACATATACCGATTGTCTAGTTGGCCTCATTCACTTATCCCTAATTGCAATCATTCTATGGTGTATTTCGGCTTTAAGTTCCTTAAACAATTATGGTTAATGTGTATATTCTTTTATAAATCATAAGCTACCTAATACGAGTTTAATATCCGTATCTATTTAATCATAAAGGCAAGTTTTAAATTAAGCTTGTCAGCTCTCCACAAACATTATTTTAAGAATTTTAAAATGATTATCTATACAACATATGTAGCTAATTTTATTTTCTATTTTTATTTCTAAAAAATCTGTTTGAGACAGACTTGTCAAATATCTTGTTCATTTGTTCAAGTTTTATTTTCTTATCTCTGCTGATTCATTCAATATTATAACAACTATAAAAACATAGTCGGCATATATACATAGAAGACTAAGCCTGTTTGAAGTAATAAACTGACTATCAGGAAAACAAAGAATTTATGCTTATCGTATGTTTAATTAAATCTTTTAAATCTTAGTATACTAATTCTTATGGCTTAAAGTCAAATGGCCTTTAGTTTAAGGTTATTATATTTATGTGAGAAATGTTGATCTAATAAATGTTAACTTATTATCATAATATTCAAATTCACCCTGGAAAGGACATGACTATGGATTTTAGGTAATATGGAGATGTGAGGCCAATAAGTCGAGATCTTTGAAAACCAAATGATAAATAAGTTTTGTTTGAAATATTTCACGGAATATGGTCGCAGGATCGGGTTAATATGATAACGAGAGTATGGGCTGCACACTTATAACGTTGGACCCACCGTAATTCCAATTGAGCAGGCCGTGATATACGATGAATCCGAGGACCAAGAGAAGAGCCACCTTTTTGGCATTGGTCGCGTTCAGTTGCTCCATGAATATATCCGCTTTGGTGGGCATCCGTTGTCCACCGGCGGCGCCTCCAATGCATATGTCACCGAGCTCGGGACTGGGGGCTCCATTGCCAGAGGATCCTGGTGCTCCAGGTGCACCTGATCCTCCTCCATTTCCTCCATTTCCACCGCGCAATTCGCGTAGCTCCATAATTTATAAGCCTCCTCCTCTTCCTCTTCCTACAATTTGGCCTATAATATTACAGAAAAGTTGGCCAATTGCATGGGCATGGTCTTAGCCCAATTTCGCTGGTTTCGCGGACACCGTCTCCTTCTCTTTTGCTGTCTTTTTCGCTTTTATTTATTAATTTTTAAAGTTTTTTAGACAGTCTCTTGCTTCGCCGGCCGATAGGCAACCGCCGTCTATCGCCCGCCGCCCCCGCCGCACGACTATCGCCTATCGGCGAACAGCTGATGTGTCGACGTCTCGGGTTGAATGGTTAAAAAGAACAATTCGAATAATGCACCGTTATATTGGAGCTATTAATGTACAATTTTGTTCATTCAAATAAAACCAAAATTTGGAAGATGGCTTGCAAAATAAGCATGATTTGATATATACAAGACATAGTAATCCTTTGGGACTACATTACAAACAAAAAAACAAAGCAAACTGAGACTTCACTGACTTCTCATAAAAATGTAGCATTTGAGTTTGTTCAGCGTACGAATCGGTCTTTATATCAGCTAAAAATTGTATTCAGTCGAGAAACAAAACAAGTTAACAATAATTCAAATTTGATTTCAATATCAGCAATACCGATACTCGATATCAGCAAGTGCCAATTGTTCGCGCTATCGATACATTTAAATTTTAAGAAAAGAAGGCAAATTGTTGTAGTTTCTAGCAAAAATAAGACATTTTTAGGGTAAACTAGTGAAATTCCGAATTGGGAAAGATGATAACCGAAAAGCAGCATCCGCTGGACAATTGCGAGCTGTTTGTCCAGCTGAGGATGACCTTCCAGGAGATCAGCAAGAACAACAAGAACAGCAAGAGCCTTAAAAACATTATTTATTGGAGCGGTGAGTGGAACAATTTGGGGTATTAATTCCGAATAAAGCTTTGCTTTCCGACAGGAAATGAGGAGCACATTGCCGAGATTTGCAACCGCGTGGCGCGGCTATTGCTGGAGCACGAGCTGATCCTCCAGGAACCGCATGCCAGGCAGCCGGAGGAGGAGGATGACCTGGTGGCCCGTCCAGTTGGTCCGGAGGCCATGAATCACCTGCGCGGCCTGCTTGTCTACCTGGTGCTTAACACGGCCAACGAGCAGCACGAAGAGCACTCCCAATGGAGCCAGAAGTGCTTCCATTTGTGCGGCCAACTGCCGGCCATACCGCAATTCCTGACCATTGCCATTGCCTTGAAGTGTGGCCTGCAGCAGCCGCTGGAGGAGTTGCTGGCCTGCGGGCCACGCTGGCTGACCACCCAGTACTTCGATACCTTCAACCAGACTCTGTCGCACGTGCACAAGGATCCCCTCGATGTGCTGCCCTTGATATTCGGCGTTCTAAAGGCAGCCGGTTGTGCCATCGTCCATCATAATCTGCCCGAAGCCAATGGGCGGTTGATTAGCCTGATGTCCGGAATGTTGCATCGTCATCTCCTAACCTCTGAGGAGCGCTTGAAGAAGGAGCTGCCGGCGTCCAGGCGCGACATTTACCTGGCTCAGGTCACGCAGCAGCTGATAGAGCTGCTTTTGGACATTCTCGACGATGTGAAGGGACAGCAGAAGCCCAAGAGCTTCACCATTTACAGCCAGATGAGCGTCGACATCAGTGGCAGCTACTCAACGGATGCCAAAAAAGATCTGCACCTCTATGCCCTAGTCTTGTTGGACGCAATTCAACGCGCTTTGCAGCCAGTCAGCGTGTATACCTACATGAACTGGTTGGATATGCAATCGCCGCGTTTGCTTTATAGCTACCAGGAGCTAATCTGTAGCCAGGCGGCCGAGATGCTGCAATTGGCCCAGCAACACAAGGATCTCGGGCAGCATGAGGTCTGCAAGCAGCTGAAGACTTTTGCGGACGCAGCCAAAAGCTTTGAACAACGCCTCAAAGAGCTGACCATTGGCGAACTGTTGGGCTTTCTGGACGGTGATCTTGGCGTGGCCACCAATGAGCAGCTACTCGCCGGACTGACCAATCTCTTTGACCGCTCCATTGCCTATGGCAATGATGAGTGCGTGGAAACGATGGCCAAGCACATAGAGCTGCTCACTCCGATGCATGCCCAGATGATACAGGTGCATTTGTCCCATGTGGTGGAGGCCAAAAAGATGGCCGAAGAGGAGGAAGGCATTCAAATCAAGGAGGAGGAGAATGACAATAAGGAACCCATGAGTTTGAGCGAGGATGAGGAGGAAGAGGAGGAGGAGGCGTATGCCAGCCTGCTGAACTTGGTTCTGCGTCCGCTGTTTCAGCAATTAAGCTTAAGCGAAAAGATCAATTTTCTGCAAATGCGCGATGCGCTCAATGTGACAACGGGTGGCTTTAAGTTTGAGGCACCGGATCATCAGAACCGTCGCGTACGCTTCTTCAATCACTTGCAGCTTGACACGGCATTCCCGTGTGACGAGTTCCTCACTCTGTGCTATGAGAATGCGGAGAAAACGTGGCTCGATTTCGCCCGCCTGGGCATGAAGCACCGGCGCTTTGGAGCGCTCTTCTGGCGCCTAGCCTGCAACTGTGCCCACCATGCTGTCAACCAGATGAGCCACTGTGCCAGGGAACTGCTGCTGGACGACCAGCTGCTGATGAAGGCGAACGCCTCCCGTTTCCTACTCTCGTTATATGGCCACCAGCTGATCCTCAACGGCCTGCGTTTGGTCTCGCGCCAGTATTATGTCTGCCTGAAGGCAGGCGCCTGTCCGTACGAAAAGGAGCAGCTGCAGCAGGCACAGGCCCAGTTCCTCGAGGGCTGTGCCGCTGGCCTGGCCGCTTTCAGTGAGACCTTGGACTATGCCAGCCTGCAGCGCATCCTGCGTTTGCTCTTCGAAATTGCAGCGACCGAGAAGAAGCTGCAGCGCTTTGGCTGCCAGCAGATGAGGAGTATTCAGAGGGAGCTTGGGAAATCACCGAGTGGAGAGGGAGAACCAGAAGATGTCCAGGTGGCCAAGCATTATCTGTCCATGCACGCCCTTCTGCCCGAGTGGCGACAGGAGAACATCAAGCTGATCTCCCAGCTGATGGCCACCATAGATGCGCTGCGCTGGGATTTGACCACCTTTGAGCGTGCCCGCGTGGACTCTTTGGGCCTGGCAGTGCGCTATTGGCGCGAGAATTTTCCCCACCTGAAGATTTTGAGCGAAGGTGAGTTCTCCAATTTTGTAACGACCATGAAAACTAGATAGATTACTTTGATTTTTTTTGGCAGAGTTCCGTCAGAAAATCGTGGATGTTGCGACCCAGTTGAGATTCAAGGACTTTTGGGCGATCAGACTGGAGAAGGGAAGATTTAATTACAATCAGCGTTTCATTAGTTTGGTGACCCAGGCCAGCGGAGCGGAGGCCACCAAACTTTTCGCCCAGATACTAAAAAATCGCTCCGATCACTTGCTTATGGGCGAATTAAGCGAGGCCGTGGTGCAGGCCAACTGCCAGTCGGCTTTGGATGCCTTTAAGTACCTTTTCTGGCGCTATTTGATCGCCTTTCGGCGTCACTTCAAGTACGGCAAACCAAACAGAAGGTGCCGCCACTGGGATCATTTAATGGTCATTGTGAACAAGTCCCCGTTCTCAATTCGCAATGAAATCATGACCGAAGCTTGCAAGGGTTTCTATTCGCGCTATCGCAACATTCTAACCGGATATCCTACCCAGAAACAAGCCAATCCAGACCCCTTGGAATCGGATTTGAAATCGATGTAAATGGATTTGATCTTTTTACCGAAGTATCTGCGCTAGTCTAAAACTTGGAATGGTGTGAAGCGCCCAAATACCTTATGAACACTCGGATTATTTATTGAATCACCAAGATTGAATATGTACAATCTTAGGATTCGGAAAACTGCATTTAAAAAGACAAGCAAAATGAGTCTTCTAAATTACATATATTTTTAATTTCCAATGCCATTACTTTCTCTTAAATCTCTTAATTTACTTTTTAAGTACTGGAAGTTGTACAACAAATTCCTTTTCCAATGCGCATCAAATAAAATCTAGTACAAAAATACAATAATTAAAGATTATTTCTTCAATTTCGCTGTGTTTAAATTATTCGTGCATTTCATTTATTTTTTTTTTTTTCTTAATTATTAAAATATGGATTTTTTTTTCTAAGAGTCTTACAAGTAAAAAGAAAAAATAAAATACTTTCCACTTTAACATTGTTAAGAGATTTTAAAACGTTATCGTCAAACAACTTGAATCGATATCCAAGAAAAATATCGATGACTGGTCAAGATGGCATGCAATTTTTACGGTCATCAATGTATTTGATGGCAAAACATCAAATAAACGTATGAATCCCTGAAAATTCAGGAAAAATTTTCAGCAATTGAAGGAACGACCTAAAATTGTCAAACAGCTGTTTCATCAAACAGTCGTTACAGCTTCTGTTTGAAAACTGCCCTAAAGTAAATAACAGAGTGTGCGCAAGAAATGGAGTGGATACTAACAGAGTGCGTAAGAACTGCAGTGAAGCAGTTAACAGTGCGCAAGAACTGGATAAATAAAAAACATCGATCACCAAACATCGACACTTTCGATGTTTTTGAAACTATCGATGACATCTAAACGACTTACTACCAGCTCTAGTGACGCATGCGTTTGACAAGCGGTTTTTTCTGCTGACAGAATTTCTGGCTTTTTTGCATTTTGCATTTGCAACTGAGAAGTTTTTCGAAGAACCCGAAGCGTGAAAAATACACCGATAAAAGGACACGGTATTCGCGAAGAAAATCAACTGAGAATTCGGTGAAAAAAGCGCACGTTGATCGTAGTTTTTTTTTCTCGACATTCTGCTAAAAACGAAAAGACCGTGCGTGTGAGTGGTTGCCTCTCTCTCGCTCTTCCTTTATTTTTTTGTCAATGCGTGTGTGTGTTGGTCGCATAAATTTACCGATATTTCGCCTGTGAGAGCGAAACGGGTGTAAAAACGACGAAAGACAAAAAAAAAGAGGGCGGAAAAAACAGCGAATTTCGTTGAAATATTGGGCAAAAAACGCAAACGTAAGCGAAAAAACCCTCTTTGATTGTGTGCAAGTTTTTTAACACAATTTCGTGTGCATTTCCTCAACAGCAAAAACAACAACAAATAGCTAAGCGAAAAACAGGACGCACAAAAAATCAAATAGAAAGAAGAAGAGGGGCGTTAGGAGGAGAGAGCAAAATAAGCAATCACAACAACAAGAACATAGGAGACAACAACAACACAATGAGCAAACCACATTTTGATCTTCCGTTGACAATTGACCCAGAGCATGAATTGCGTTTTGTGGGTAAGTCTATTTTTTTATTTTATATTCTCAACATATTTAAAAGACCTTCTGCATATCGACCAATTAAAAAACCAATTCACCTCCAATTTGCTGTTGCAAAGAGCAAACTGCAAAGTTCGCTCTCTTTTAAGCACACACATTCACACGCTCTCCTTTTCCGTGTCTCCCACACTCAGTTCCATATAGCTATCTCTTTCACTTTCTTTGACTTTTTGCTTATCAATAATTTCCGTTTTTTTTTTTTTGTTATTTCGCGTACGATTTTTTTACACCTTTTTGTAGTTTTTATTCGTCTGTTCTTTGATCCTCTTTCAAGATATTTTTTTGTTTTTATGCCGGCAGCTGGCGTCGCTCTTTTTCTCATTTGCACTTGCTCTCCCTCTCTCTGTCTAGCTCGCCCTGTGTTTTTTTGGCTGGCATTTTATTTTTATACGCGAAAACTTGTCATGGGCCATTTTAATTTTTTTCTTGTCTTGTACTCTTGAATTTTGGCCAAAAAGCAAACGCAACAGCAGCGGCAACAACAATGCAATATGACAGTAAGAGCTCACACAGTGGGCCCAAAACGCAAGGCCTACAATGCGAATAAATAAATTACTTCCGAGAAGTTCAATTGTTTATTTTAACAAGCCACCTGTACACATTTTCTTCTACTATTTTCCGTAATATGTTTAACTTTCAAGAAAATGCAATATAAAAAGTTAGTAATATTTTTCTTAGCACGGAATGAACGTTAACTAATATCTTTGGACTGCATTCAATTAGTGCTTACCCATACACCATAAATTTGTTAAAATTTTTACTTTTAAATATATCCTAAAAATAATTTTCCTATCAATCCCTAAGAATAATTTTACTATAACAATCCCACAGTGCGCAAATATTTTCATATTTGTGATTGCGTGTGTGTGTGTGAGCCTTAGTCCCATTCTTTTGTGACACCCGCCACCCCACTGCCCCGTTTACCGTAAGATCGCGAAGGGTGTAGGAGGCAGAGGGTGGAAAACACATGCATGACGCGACTTGTCTAATGAAATTTCCTTGAAATCAAATAAACACATACCTTGTTAAAAACTAGTAATTTGTGTGTTATTGCTTCAGTTTTTCGATTTTTTTGCCACTCAACTTTTGACAAAGCATAAAAAAAATAATATTTTCCGATTTGGTTTTTCCACGATCAATTTCGTATATTACAGTACAGGGTAATAATTTTCTTTTTATTAAATAATTGATTAAATATTACTCTTTTGGTTGTTTTTACATTTACATACAAAATTTGTTAATTTGTTTAAATAGTTACATAAATGTACATATTTGCATAAAAAAAAATAAAATTGGTTGTTTTTTTGACAGATATGTACATATAAGTTTTTTACATTTTCATTTATTATATTTAATAACTAATCAATTTCAAAGGATCTTCAAAATATTTGAATAATTTTCCTTAATAAGTTATAAACCAAACTTCATTCCATAGGGTACTCAATACCCGACTCCCCGATATTTAGGTCTATTTTTTCGGCTTTTGTGCCAGTTTCTGGTTTTTGTTTTGCTTTTAATTCAATTAATTTGAACTTGCTTTGGCCAATGACGTAATGAGCGTGACGTGACGAAAAAATCAGGGAGAGTGGGATAGTGTGGGAAAGTGAGAAAAGCAGGGAAAGTGCGAAAGTTGGGTGGCTTCGCTGGGTGGGGTTATCGTCAATTGAGTGTGACTAATCGGGTGCATTTCATAAAACGTGAAACGTAAAACCTGCAGGCTTTTTAATTCAAATATCAAGTTGAATCTGAAACGTCAAATCGTCCATATCATCTTCCTTTAGTGTGATTTCCGATAATTTCATAACGTAAATATTAAGATATCAGCCTAAAATGTAGATAAACATTTACAATTTCAAACTTATCAGATAATGATAAGTGGAACCACATAGAACACAGTCATTCAAAATTCTTTCTTTATATTAAAACCATTTATACTTTTATCAGCATTCGATTAACCAAATGTATTTATTTTATTGACCCATTTGCTGCAGGTCCCTTCATCCGACCCGTTGTCACAATCATGACTCTGCGCAACAACTCGGCTCTGCCGCTGGTCTTTAAGATCAAGACAACCGCCCCGAAGCGCTACTGCGTACGTCCAAACATCGGCAAGATCCCGCCCTTGCGAACGACCCAGGTGGAGAGTGAGTATTATAATAATATTTATATTTCACAAATATGATGATGTAAACTAATCGATTTTCAATGTATATAGTCTGTCTGCAGCCATTCATCTACGATCAGCAGGAGAAGAATAAGCACAAGTTCATGGTGCAGAGCGTTTTGGCACCCATGGATGCTGATCTGACCGATTTGAATAAATTGGTAAGAAAAAGTAGAGAGACAAAGGGAACCAGTTAGATTGTATATACATACTTGAATATTAGGTCGATATTAAAATAACATTAATGATGACCCTTAAAATAGTTAATACATTTGTGGGGTTGATCTTACAGTATTTTCATACTATTAACCACTTTTGATAAGACAGATTGAGCATTGGATTCAATTTTGTTTTTTTTTGTTGTAAAAGATTATACGAAACGTTATAATTGTAAAGTATTTTAGATTTAACTTTTATGAACCCATTGACTCTTATTTTACTTGCGGCAAGTTTAAGTTGTTGAATATATGTAGATAATGTTTTTAAAATGAATTAGATTTATGAGAAACAGTTGCTAATTTATCCATTGTGTACTCTAAAACTTTAAACGATATAACTTGCAAACAAAGAAAACAATTCCAACACGAAATTGTATAAATCGAAACGTAATAAAAATACAATTTACTCTTAATACTGAATACAAGTTCAAGGGATTTCGCAGACTAAGGAGGTTTTAACTATTTTTACTAATCAAACTTGTTTGTATACCTCTCCCGCAGTGGAAGGAACTTGAGCCGGATCAGCTGATGGACGCCAAGCTGAAGTGCGTGTTCGAGATGCCCAACAACGAGGCGAATGCGGAGAACACCAGCGGTGGCGGTACCATCGGCCGTACCGCCGGCGGTGCAAGCGGAAGTGGCGAAGGCGGAAGTGCGGGCGCCAACACTAGTTCAGCCATTGCTGAGGCGCTCGACAAAAAGTTCGAGAAGCTTTCCAGTGAGGATATGGTGTGTTTTCCTTAACTCAAACCATAAAAAGTTTCATTTAATAACGCTAATCCTATGTGTATCCCAAATGTAGCCCTCGAATTTGCCCGATGCGTCAGAGAAGATCGAGTTGGTCGGTGAGATCAAGGCGCTGCGTGAATCCATCAGTGAACTGCGAAAAGAAAATCTACACTTGAAGGTATGTTCTGTCTAAATAAAAGGTTATAACTCAATTTAAAGTTGTTCAGATCAAACATTTCCAGTTTAATTTGAAATGTCAATGAAAAATGTAAAGGAAAAAGGTGTACTCTTTTTGCGGGCCTGTTGGCTCGAATCATTTGAAGCAGTTTATGGGTATGGATGTTTGTTTATGACATATAACTAATGTCTTAGATTCAATGAGCTTTGATTATATGGCCATAAATAAGTATATAAATAAATGGCTGGGGTTAAATGCATTTTACACGATATGTGCTAAAAATAAGAAGTGTCCCTCTTACATTTAAATATTACAATATTTCCTGATTTGTTTGTTTATGTATTTAGGGCATACAAAATAACTCTTAATAACCTATCTTCAATTTTCAAACTTTTGCAGAATCAAATCACACGCTACCGCAGCTCGCCGGCCATTAAGCAGGAGAATGAGCCCTATGCCCCAGTTCTGGCTGAGAAGCAGATTCCGGTCTTTTACATTGCAATTGCCATTGCTGCGGCCATTCTTAGCCTCCTGCTGGGCAAATTCTTTCTCTGAACGCCATAAATGATCGCCAGCAACATGCAACATGCAACGTGCAGCAACAGCAAAAGCAAAAGCAAGAACAGCGGCAACACCATCTCACAGCAACATCAGCAGCAACTAACAACAGCAACCACAACGAATGAACAACAGCAGCAGAAGCATTGGATTCCATCATCGGCAAAAAGTAGGACACCTCCCAGAGATGAAAATAAAGCTGACAACAAAAAAAAAAAAAAAAAGAAAGGGAAACAGCACAGAAAAGGATAAAATCAAGAAAGACACAAAATTGTATTTTCGCAAAAGAGGGGCAATCTCTTGAGAAATATTTAAAACCACACTTTACTAAGATCCCATACGTATATTGCTCAGATTTTTAATTGCATTTCTTTTTCGCTAATATTAATATTTAAGTTTAGAGTTTGAAGAGCTTCGCAACCTTTTTTTTTATTCGTTTTGATGCATTTTTTAGACGGAAAATGTTAAGTATTTCAAAGAACAACCAAAATTATCATTAAATCGAATTAATCATGCCTTTTCGGTAAACATAACAAAATACAAATACATAATTGTTACGAGAGTGCGAGAATAAACTTCAGTTTTTAAAAATATTTTTTAATTGTTTCCTTTACTATTTTTTTCAACCACCAAGACCTAGATGTAAAATTTAAATCGAAGAAATGAAAACCAAATGTCAAGAAAAAAACCTTGAGCAAAATACAAAACAAAGAAAAATACAAAAAGAAAAACAAAATAATTTGAATGGAAACCAATCAATGAAAATGCTTCAAAGAAAAACAAACATGCTCTGCAAGGCCGATGCTCTCTAAAAGAACAGTTGCTTCACCCCCCTCGTCGTATCACTCCCTCTCTCTCATTCTCTGTCTGTCCCTCTCTAAATCCCGAAATGAGATCGAACTCGGGAACTATATATGTATATTTATATAGATATATAAAAGGAAATCATTATTGTTTTTGTTTGGCATTTGCATTTACTTAGTTTCATTTTAGTCATTTCAGTGGTTACACTGCGACACCCACACAAGAATATATATATGTATATATATATATATATATATATTGTACGAATATAATGAATTTCTATAAGCAAACCTTTATGTAATTTGTGTTGTTTGCCAAGGCCGAATTGATAAAATTTCCTAGCCTAATTAGCAGCGAAATTGTGAAAATCCATTACCTTATATCTGATACGATATATATGTATGTCTTAATTGGGTGCAGCAAAATCAATCAATTTTTTTAAAAAACATTTGACTCAAACAAACAAACACACACACACACACACACACACGTATTGTTGACGGCTCACACTAGATCCGTGGTTCCATAGATCCACACAACCCACTTAGTTCCTTCCGTACCGCCCCATATTTACTTGCTTTATGCTTGAAAAACCGGGTAACTCGTTTTTCACCACAATTATTTTCCCACACATATTTCATTGCAATTGTTTGTGGTTATGACTTTTTTATATATAGTTTGCAAAGCATTGAAAAAGGGTATATAGATTTATACAAGAATATATATTCGCTGACATGCATGATCGCTGTATTTTCATAGGCATGTGGAAACTCGTATTTAAATGTTTAACTAGAAATACAGAAAACAAAAAACCTAAAAATAAATAAAAAGAGAAGTGTGGAAGTAAAAACAAATAAAGAAGCAAAAAAAAAAACAAAAAATACAAAAAACAAGCAAATCATAAGCAAAATGTACTTGATGTCAGCTGTAGCAAAAAAGAAAAACACAATATATATGAACATAATAATAATAATAATAATAAAATGTGGAAACGGAAATTGAAATTCAACAATTGTTTCGGTACATTTAACAACATTGAATTGCATTACTTAATTGAAATCAACCAACATACACTCTACACACGCCCAAAAGTCTCCTCGCAAAAGGGCCGCAAAATCAAAGGAGGATATAGGATGTCGCAGGTTGGAGGAGATCGAATTCTGGAGATCGGGAGATTCGGGAGGAGATCACAACACAAACAAGAAAAAACCAATTATAATATTTACAGCATGAATCTTAAAAACTAAGTGTTTTTTTCTCAAAGGAAAAATAAAATGAAACATTGTTAATTAAACATCAAATATCATTTGAAATAAATTTAAATAAAACGAAAATGGATGGTTGGTTGGATGGTTGATGCGTTGGTAATCATAAACAATATATCCATGTTTATAATGAGCTATACGTATTATACGGATAAGAAAATGCAGTAAGATATTCCATTCAAAACATTTTTATTCGCCATTAAGACGTACAGCTGCGGTCAAAAATAATATATGTTTTTTTTAACTTATGGAAAATGCAAGTTTAAAATAGTTTAGAAGCCACATTTCCGAGAAGCTAACACTAAATACTTAATCGGAAAATATAATAACTAGACGATAAAGGATATTTCAAATTTGAGAAATTTTCTAAATTTATTAATAACTTATTTATTAAGAACTTTTAACACTTTAATTTCCTTGAAAAACTAAAAAAAAAATATACAAGTTTTTATCTTATTTAGCTTATTGGTAAATTAAAGTCAAAATTGTGTTGCCTTAAAATTTACTTTACCAAACTCGACTGCTCACTTATTGACCGCAGCTGTATATGTTCCAATGCTGTCATAAATTTGTATCAGAACTGCAAGATCTGAAAAGTAACCCCTTTAAAACACATTTTTCTATATTTTGGTTTAATTCTTAAATTCTTTAGTTAAATTTTCACTTTTTTTTTTTGTTTTTGCTTCTGCTTTGCTTCATTTCGATTTGTTTTATACAATTTTTACATATCTACAACATAAAACGTACGCGTTTGGAACAAAATCGGGGAAATCGGGAATTTCGGGGACAGCTTTTCAGCTAGCCAAGGTACATATAATATCGTATAAAGAACTTTAACGCTATCGCCATCGTCCGCGCAAGGAAGGCCAGAATTATGATTAAAGTAGTGATTCGTTATTAGAGTGCTAGTCGTAGTAGGAGCCCATCATCTGGAGGCATCTCCTGGGTACGTAGTTGACCTCGCCGGTAAATGTTAATGGGCAGGGGCTAGCCGGAGGGCTCATCCTCCTTGTTGTTGTTGCTGCCCATTATCCAGTCCATGAGCATCATCGATGGCGAACGCAATGCGGACTGAGCTGGAGATTTGGATTTGGTATCGGAATTTTGGTTAGGGCATCATCACAAGCTCAAGTTTAGGTGTCTTCCACTCACAGAGATCCGCGCCGATTGTTGCTGGCGGTGCGGGAGGGGCTACGACTGATCCCGATCCTGATCCAGATCCAGCTCTCTGCTGCTTGGCCATGTCCCTCTGCAGTTGGATCATCTGCTGTAGGCGTTGCTCACGCTCGTCAACAATTGCCTTATCCTTGGAATGCTTCACCGTCTGCAACTCTGCGAGCCTGAAAAGTGCAAGAATAATCATTACAAAAATGTTTTTGGACTCGGTTGTAAACGGTGCAGCTACTACTATGATTATTGAAATATATATAATCAATAATATTTCATATTCTGGAACGATTAAATATATTCTGAAACATTAAAATTTTATTTATAATGAATGGATGGACCAAAAATGCCTTTAAACCATAATGATTTAAGGCCAATACAATTTTATGCTATTATTCCGGTTTAACCGCTGCATCGTTTACAACCTGAATTATTTTTTTGAATTTTGTTACAAAAAAAAAAAATAAATTTATATTTATATTTATATTATATATATATTAAATATATATATTACAAATGTATATATATTAAAATCTTTTTAAAATAATATATAATGTTACGTTTTTTTTTGACTAAACCGCTGCATCGTTTACAACTTTATTTATTGATTTATTACTATTATTTGTCACCACTCACTTTTGCTTGAGGTCACTGCCCGTGGTTGTGGTTCCCAGGAGCTCGCTGCTGCTGCCGGCGCTGCTGGTTTTGCTGGGACTGCTGCCCGAGGCGGCCGATGAGGACGCCGTGGCACAGGCGGCTATATGATGAAAGATTAACAAATCGGTTAGGATTGAGTATGTAGGGTAAATGCCAAAAAGAATCCCACTCCCACTCACGTTCATCGCTGACGCGACTCCGTTCCGTTTCCAACTGGCGCAACGTGTCCGACAGCTTCAACTGCAGATGGTCACGTTCCTCGAGCAGCTGCACCAGCTCCAGGATCATCTCCTCGACACGCATGTCCCGCTGGTGGAGCATCATCAGGGCGTAGTCCAGATCCGCCTTCAGCACATACTCGGGCAGTGGTTCGTTGTTGGCAGTTAGCGGCGGTGGTCCACCGGCTGAGGCGGCGGCACCGGCGGACGCAGTTGGATTGCCACCCGATCCGCCGCGATTCTGCAACCGGAAGGGATCGTATTGGGCTGCCAGGCGAGCATACTCCGCCGAACGGATGGCCAGCTGCTCCTTGAGCGTTACAATCTCCATTTCCTGCGTTTCCAGGGCCTTTTGCATCTTCAGCATCATTTCGCCACCGTTGGTGGCTTCTTCCGGCTTCTCCTGCTGCTGCAGCTGCTCCTGTTGCTTCTGTTGCCCCTGCTGCTGCTGCTGCTGGCCAATCTCCTCCAGCTGCGCCCGGAAGGCAGCCTCCCGCTGGGCCAGATGCTCCTGCCAAATGCTGGCCACCTCGCCGCACTTCTGCTCCACCAACTGTTCCCACTGCCGATTGATGGCTGCCAGATCGGGCGTGGGATTGGGTTGAGGATTGGGTTGGGGATTGGAATGCTGGCCAAGATTCTGGCTCTGCAAGACCTCGAGGGAGCGACGCAGTTCAGTGATCTCAATGTCTTTCGTGTCCAGCTGGAGCAGCGTCTGTTTCATCCTGTCCTCCAGCTCCAGGCTGCTGAGTACATGGTTGTTGAGCACGCGCAGCTCCTCCTCCATGTCGGATTTATCCTGCTGCAGCTGTTGGCACTCGGCACGCAGTCGTTCCACGGATTCCCCAGCGGAACTCACCACCTGGTGATCCTCCTCCTGCCTATCCTCTTCCAACTGCTTGACCTGCATGCGCAGCAATTGCAGCTCCTGGTTTTTGGTCAGAATCTCGAAGACAAGCTTCTCCGTTTGGTCCTCGCGCATCAGCTCCTCGATGCGCTGTTTGAGGTGGACAATCTCTGCTTCCTTCTCCTGCAGCAGAACCATTTGCTCATCATTCCTGGTGTCCACATCCTCGACGGTGGCCTCCTGACTTCCCATGCGACGCAGTGCCTCCAATTCGGCTTGATCCCGTGTGCGCTGTGCTTCCAGCTTGTTGAGTTGGTGGCTCAGCTGCTGGAACTCCAGTTGCTGTGATCTCAGGCGCTCCACTTCGGGTTGCAGGTTCCTCAGGCGCTCCACTTCGGGTTGCAGGTTCCGCAGGTGTTCCACCTCCGTCTGCAGGCTTCTCAGCTGCTCCACCTCGATCTGAAGTCTTCGCAGGTGTTCCTGCTCTTCTTTCTGGAACTCTTTGCTTTGTAGCTGCTGATCCTCTTGAATCTTTTGGTTTCTTAAGTGCTCCACTTCGGTCTGGAGGCTCCTCAAGTGCTCCAGTTCGGGTTGAAGGCTTCTTAGTTGCTCCACTTCGGTCTGGAGACTCCTCAATTGAACCACCTCGGCCTGGAGAGCCTGCAACTCTTGCAGATCGGACTGTCCCTGCCTCAGTTCATCCACCTCCAGCAGACGCTCCCGCAACTGCTCCTGCAGTGTTTCCCGTTGGGCCTGCACCTGGGCAGTGGTCTCCTCGGCCAGTTGGAGCAGTCGACTCTGCTCCCTCAGTTTCTGCTGCAGCTCGTGGCACTCGGCATTCAGATCCTGGTTCTCCGCCTGTAGGCTATCAATCCTGGCCACCTCATCGGTGGCGATGGGAGCAGCTGGCATGGCTGGCGCTGCACCAGCAGCGGGCACATCCCACTGGTCCAGTTGGTTGAGCTTCTCCTGAAGCTCCCGGATGCGGGCCTGGTACATCTGGACATCCCGGTCCTGGCGCTCCTTCAGCTCGGCCATGCGTTCGTTGCCAGCGGTGAGGACATCGATGCGCTTCGCCAGCTTCTCCTTTTCGAGGGCCTGCTGCTGCAGCAGCTCCTCGGCTTTGGATTGGCGGGATTCGTGCAACTGGAGCTGGTGCTTCAGCTCCTCGATAATGGCCGTATCCAAGTCGTTGTCCACTGGTGCCGCCGGCGGGGTCGCCTTCGTTTTGTATTCCTTCAGGCGCTTCATCAGCTTGGCCGCCTTTGTCTGCAGCTCTGCCTTCTGCTGCTCCGCACTGGCCAGCTGCAGCTCCAATTGGGCAATCCTCGCATGCAGCGGCTCCACATCCGTTTGCGGCGCCTCCGTGGCCGCACTCGCCCACGGATCCTCGTCCACACCCCAATCGATCTGCTGCTGCTCCTGCTGCGGCTGGCACAAGTACGCCTTTTTGGGCTGGATGAGTGGCTCCTCCACCGGCTGCGTTTGCGGTAGGCCCAGGTCCAGGTGGTGACCCGACTGATGTACGGCATCGGGCACCGTTTCCCCAGTCGCCTGTCCGCCAAAGAACATGTCCAGCGTGGGCACAGCCACTGCCGCCGTTGGGACAATGAGCTTCTCCAGGGCCGCCAAGCGTTCGCGTTCCTCGTTGGCCGCCAAGCGTTCGCGTTCCTCGTTGGCCGCCTTAATCTCGGCCAGCTGCTCGTCCCGCTCCCTCAGCAGACGCTGTAGCTCCTGCAGATGCTGCTCCAACTGCTGGCGTCGCTCTTCCTGCTCGGCCACGTTCTGATTCCGCGCCGCCAGTTTCGTTTCCAGATCCTGGGCATGCTTCTCCAGATCGGAGACATTCCGCTGCAGATCCTCGATGGTGGGCGGTGGTGGCATGGCCAGGGCTGCACCCAATGACGACACCCTCAAGGGCTGGGCCGCAATTTCGTCGAAGGGCGAGGGTGCGGCCAGAGCATCGCCGCCAAAGAAGAGGGAAGCTGGTGGAGGATGCTGCTGTAGCTGGGATGTGGATTGAGCCACCGGAAGAGGATTGTGATGATGCGGCTGCTGCTGCTGCCTGGCCAATTGAGCCTGCAGTTCGCTTAGTTGCTCGGCCAACCGCCTGTTCTCCGTCTCGATGTAAACCTGGTCGTCCGTTTGGTTCTGACCCAGCGTGTCCAGCTCCGCAATCTGCTGCTGGAGGGCCTGCAGCTCCTGGCTGTGGTTGGCACAGAGGGCATCGATCTGGGTGCGCAGGTTGTCCGTTTCGGTCTTGTCCTGCAGCGCCTGCATGCGCAGCTCCTGCAGCTCGAGCACATCCTGCTCGGCACTGTCCTGCTGCAGTCGCAACAGGGTAACCTCGCGACTCAGGGCGGAACGCTCGCGCTCCACCTCTTGCAACTCGTCGCTGAGGCGCTGCAATTCCTCCGCCCGCTGGGCGACCAGCTCCTGGGAGCGCTCCAGCTGCTGGACAAGATCGCGCTGCTCGGCCGCCGCTCGTTCCACATGGCCATTGAGGTCGCACTCGAGTTCGTCCAGTTCGGTGGCCTTGGCGGCCAGTTTGGCATCGTATACCTGTCGCTGGCGTTGCAGTTCCGCCTCCTTGGCATCCAGTTGTTGGCGCAGATCGGCCAGCTCCTCCTGCGCCTGGCTGTTGAGCTGTTCCCGCTCCGCCTGGGCAGCGGACGTTAACTGCGAGTGTTTGGTTACCAGGGATTCGTAGTCCGAACGCAGGCCAGCCAGTTGCTGTCGGCACTCCTCCGCCTCGCTGGTGACCAACTGCAGTTGGCGACCCTGAGCCTGTTCCCTTTCGTTCAGTTTGAGCAGATGCTCCTGCAGCTGCTGTTCCTGCCGACGCTGCTGATCCTGCTGCTCACGGCTCTCCAGCAGCTGCTGCTCCAGCTGTTGCGTGCGATCCTGGGCAGCCGCCTGCCGATTGGCCTCGCTGGCCACCTGCTCCTCCAGGGCGGCGCTCCTGGCCAGCAGCTCCGCGTTGTGCGCCTCCAGCGACTCAATGTACGAGGCGTCCTCCTGCAGCTTGGCCTGGATGCCCTCGTGTATCGTCTCCAGGCGGGCAATGGTCATCTCAAAGTTGGCCTTGTCCCCAGCATACTGCTGTGCCAGCAGGGCGTGCTGCTCCTGGGCGGCCGTCAGTTGGACACGAAGGTGTTCCAGCTCTTTTTCGGCCGCTCGAAGGGATTCCGTTTGCTGCAGCTGCAGGATTGGGAGAAATGGAAACATTACAAACACAGGCTATCAAAGAGGAGAGGAGAGGTTGACTCACCGATTCAAATGGTTTTTGTGTGGTCTTGATAATGCTGGCTCTCTCGCTCTCCAACTGGGCAATCTCCTGGCGCAGGGCAGCAATCTAGTTTATAAAATTTAAGACGTTAAAAAGACAATAAAGAATGCTTAAGTTATTAACGCTGATTAATTCCAAATAAATATGCCTCCAGAAAAAAATCTGATTTAATGTGGCGCCATCTGCCGAACAACTCCACAAGCTAAGAGAGAGAGAAACTTCCATCTCACTCTCAAATAAAAAAAGTGACGTCATAATCACATAATTGCCAATAACTTCTAAAACAATGGTTTGATTTGAAAAATTGTAAGTGGGTCAATTGATATTGACCAAATAAACATATAGAGCCCAATAACTGATCTATACCATATCTTAAAGTGGCATGACAGAGTTTCGCGATTTGTGGGCGTGCGAGTGTGTGTGGCCAAATTTTAAAGTAAATAAAAAATGCGTAGGCATAATTAGCAACTGCACGTTAAATCCCAAATGGCTGGCTTTTATGCTTACCAAAATCTGGACTTTAATACAGACAGAGAGATAAATGCTGATCAAGAATATATATATATATATATACTTTGCCTACCTGCTGCATATAAATTAAAAAAAAAGCTAAGAGACCAGTTTGTTTGCCACTTACCTCTGCATCCTTCTCCAGATGCAGTTGCTCCTGGACAGCAGCTCGCTTGGTTCGCACATGTTCCACCTCGCTGGCCTGATCCTGCTGATCCATCTGATCCTGCTGGAACTGCTGAAGCTCCCGCTGCAGCGCTTGAATGGTGGCATTGCGATGCTTGATCAGCTCCTTGGACTTTTCGAATTTCTTGGATTTCTGCTCCAGTTGACGCTGCAGATCCTCGACAGCCGTCGCCTTCTGTTCGAGATTTTGGATTTCCTGCTGCAGCTGGGCGACTTGCTGCCTCAGCTTGGAGCATTCCTGACCCTGCTGGAAGACCTCCTGTTCGGCTTCATGGCGCTCGCGTCGCAGCTCCTTGTTGACCAGATTGGCATCCTGGAGCTCCGCATCGCGCTGCTGGATCAGTTGCTCCTGCTCCTGGATTTGCTGCCTCAGCTGGCGCAGGGCATCGCGATTCTCGAGGTTCACATGGATCTTGGCCTTGAGATCCTCGTTGAGTTTGCTGACCTGCTGCTGCAGCTTCTCCACCTCCTGCGTGTCCACAATCGGTGGACGGGACTGCTGCGCCTGCTCCTGCTCCTGAAGTTGACTTGTTAGCTCCTGCACCTTCTGCTCGAGATCGGCATTGTCCTGCGTGCGCTTCTTCAAGTTAAGGGCATACTTCTTGAGCTTCTCGCGCAGTTCGCGGCTCTTGAGCTGCTCCTCCTGGCGGGCCTGCTCCATGGCCTGGTACAACTCCTGGATCTGCTGGTTGAGCGCATCGATCGTCTCCTGGCTGGAGGCCAGTTCGCTGACCTGCTGGGCGGCCAGACTCTTGCTGATGCGCAGCGCCTCCCTCAGCTGGTCGGGATCCTCGTGGACCTGGGACTTCAACTCGCGCAGCTCCTCCTGGGCGGACTGCAGCTCCAGCATCTTGAGGTTGAGCGCATGCTCGTTCTCGCCGAGGCTCTCGATCAGCTGCTGCTTCTGCTCGGCCACCAGAGCCTGCAGGATGCTCAGTTCCCCCTCGAGCGCCTCGCCACGCGACTCCAGCTCGCGTCGCAATCGCGTCTGCTGCTCCATGTGCTTCTCGTGACCCATTTCCTTGGCATTGAGCAGCTGATCGAACTGTTCCGCCTGCAGCTGCAGTTGTGTGATCTCTTCCCGCTGCCTGGCCACCAATTGCTGGTGATCGGCTTGGGTTTGGAGTAGCTCTCGGATTTGCTCCAGCTGCTCTGCCTGCGAGGAGCGTGTGTCCTCCAGCAGCGATTGCAATTGCAGCAACTCCTCCTCCCGCTGATTGTCCGTGCCTGCAATGGCCAACGGAGGCTGTCCTCCGATCCCGGCCTCCGATTCCGGATAACTGTCCCTCAGCTCGTCCAGTTCCTGGCGCAGACGCGATATCACCGCCTTGAGCTCCGCATTCTGGGCATTGAGCTGCTCGTATTCGGCCAGAGCTTTGCCATTGGGAGCGGTGACAGCGACCACGGTCTCCACCACCGTCACCGTTTCCACCGCCGAGCTGGCCTCCTTCACCTTGTGCAGCAGCTCACTCAACTGGGTGTGACAGTTCTTGGCCTCCTTGGCCAGCTTCTTGGCCACATTGAACTTGGCCTGGCGATCGTTTGCCCGCCGATACGCCTCCAGTTCGGAGTTCAACTTGCTCAGGGATTTCTCGCATTTCTCGAAGAGCACGGGACCACCATCGCCGGCATCCAGGGAGGCCACCACCTCCGTGGATCGCTGCATCGAGCTGAGCTCCTGCGACAGATTCGATGAGGTGGAGGTGGAGGAGAGCAGATCTCTTTCCCGTTCCCGCTGCAGCAGCTGCAACGATGTGCAACTCTCGTCCAATCGGGCCTGCAGTTGCACATTCTCCGCGGACAGCTGCTCCAGCTTGTCCAGCACCTCGCCGCGTTCCTGGGTGAACAGTTCGAGGCGTTCCCTTAGCTGGCACAGACTCTCGCCGCCGGAATTGTCCTCCTCCTCGGGATCCTCCGTTTGGGTGAGCTCGCTCACATGACTGGGCAACTGCTGGTGCTGCTGATGCTGCTGCTGGACCGGATCCACCTGCTTCTGCTCCTGGGCATCACCCTCGCTGGCCGGTCGTCGCTGCTGGCCAAAGCACTCCAGCTGCTGGCGTTCCACAATCTCAATGGATTCCGCCGAACTGGAGGAGCTGAGCTTCTCCAGCTTGTCCAGTAGCTCCATGTTCTCGTTGATGTAGTGCGTTAGCTTCTTGTCCAGCGTTTCCTTCTCCGTGCGCAGTGTGTCCAGCTGCTGGCGCTGTTCCTGGGCCTCCTGCTCCAGCTGCTGGACGCGCTGGGTCAGTAGCTGCTCTTCCATTTGGGCCTCGCTCAGCTCGGACTCGACGCGGGCGGACTCGTGACCCTGCTGCAGTGCCTCCAGGGCCTGTTGCAGTTCCAGCTTCTGTTCCTCCAGCAGGCGAATGGCCTCAAGTTGAAGGGGATTGGACTCAACCGGCTGCTCCTCCACCCTCTCCTCCTTCTCCACCTTCTCCTCCTCATCCTCGTGCATGTTGGCCAGCTGCCATTGACCCTTCTCGTCCTCGAGGACCGTGATCCTCTGCTGCAGCTGTTCGTTTTCGGCCGCCAGTGTGGCCAACTGGGTTTGGCCATCCTGGGATTGCAGTTTCTGCAGCTGCTTCTCCGCCTGCTTGCACTTAAGCTTCAGCTTGATGTTGGCCTTGTTGGATTCGTCCAGCTTTTGCTTGAGCTGCTGCAGTTCCTCCTGCAGCTGCTGGCTGGCCGCACTGTCCTCCAGATGATCGTCGAGGAAGAGGGCCGGCTTGGTGCGACTGCTCTGGGCCAGCTTCTCCTCCAGCAGGCGGAGATTCACATTGAGCACATTGAGTTCCGTGGTCTTCTCCGCCAGCTCTTCGCTTTGCTCAGCCATGGCGGCCTTTTGCTCATCCAGTTGCGCAGACTGGGCTGCTATGGTGGCCTCCAGTTCCTCAAGACGTGCGGATATACTCTCATCGCTCACCTGGAGCTTCGTTTGGGCGGCCAACTGCTGACGCAGCTCCTCGTTGGTGGCCTGCAGCTCGCTCAGTTGGTTGGTCAGCTCCTGCAGCTGTTTGGCCAGCTCCAAGCTCACCTGGGCATCGGTGGATGACGCCGAGTGTGCCGACTGCGGACTACTGGAAGACTTCTCTTGCTCCTGCTCCTGTTCCCGCTCCTGTTCTCGCTGCCTTTCTCGTTCCCGTGCCGTGGTCAGCTCTTCCTGGAGTTCACAGCGGGTCGTCTCTAGCAGATCGTTGACATTCTCCAGCTCTGCCAGTCGTTCTCTTAGGACTAACACCTCTCCCTGAAGGCGGCAATGCTCCTGCTCCTGCAGGCCATCCCCCTCCCTCTCCGACTTCATCTCCTCGTTCTCCTTCTTTGCCCCCAGACGCAGTTGCTCCAACTCCTCGTTGCGCTGAGTGAGCGTGCGCTGCAATTCGGCGCCAGATAGCTCCAATTGCTCGATAAGATTGGCCCGCTTGGCCAGTTCCGTGCGCAATTCGTGCAGCTCCTGCTCCTGGCGACCCTGCTTGAGCTCCGTCAGCTTCATGCGATTCCTGAGCAGCTTCACCCGGCTCTCGTCCAGCGGCTCCTGCCCCTGGGCCTCCAGATCCAAGGCGGAACGGTGCCGGGACACGGGTGGCGGATTGGAGGTAGTCGTAGCCTGTCGCAGGTCCGTCATGGATGAGCCCAGCTCGGCGGCAGTTCGATGGCCAATGCTGGACTTAACAGAGTGCAGCGACTTGGCCAGATCCCGCTTGCGCTGTTCCAGCAGAGCGCGATTCTGCTCGGTGCGCTGGGTGAGCATCAGTAGCTTCTCGCTGCCGCTGGTTTGCAGCTGGGCAATCTCTCCTGCTCCTGCTCCTGCTCCCACTCCTCTTTCTTCTTCTGCTCCTCTGCCGCTCGCTGGGAAATTATCCTTTGTGGGCGTGACCAGTGGAGTGGAGGTGCCGCCGCCGCCGGAACGAGCCTTCAGCACGGTCAGCTTGTGTCCCAGCGTCTTCAGCGACTCCATGGAGTCACTCATGCTGGACTTGCGGCGCCCGTCCTGCGATTTCCTTAAGGCAGTTAGGCGTTCCTAAAAAATGGATTCTTTGTTTAGTTTGGGGATTTTTACTTATTTATATTTGCTGCTGCGTACCTGCTGCTTGTACAGATTCTCTTTAAGGCTGTCCAAACGGCCCTTGCCTTCGGTGCCTCTCGTTGTGCTGGCGGATACATTCTAAAAAGGGATTGTACAGATTATTTAGATTACTTTGAGTATAGGTTTAAACAACTAGACACTACAAAAGCTTCAGCATCAATAACTCTGTAAATAAACTGGTGTTTAGTTATTATTCTGATTGTATAAGCATCATTTCTGAGGAAAAGGATACATGTATCCAATACATAAATTAATATATCCACCTGAAAGTTTAATTTCTAATAACTTGTTACTTTAACATATCAACCATACTCGTATAGTTCCATATCGATCCAATCCAATCTTTCGGTAATTCTAGTTAATTCATTAGCGGTTACTAATTTATATCCGTAAGCATTGCGTATTTTAAAGGCATTTAACCTCCTGAAATCCTTAACTAATAGATCCTAGTCCTTATAGATAGCTTTTTCTGCCGGTAATCTTTAGTTGTGGGGTCCCTTTTAGGATTTGCTCACCTGTAACAAGGACAGATCGTTGGAGCTGCCCGTCAAGCGTATATCCGCCTCGCCATATTCGTGATCATCGGGCTGCAGGCGATAAAGGTGATCATGATCAGTGGATGATAGATGGGTAGGCAAATAGATAACAGATAACAGATATAAACCCACCTGAACGATGGAGAAATCGTAGGAACTCTCCAAAGAAGCCGAATCCTCCGCCATTGTCGTTTCAATTACAAAATAATACCACCTATCTATTTACTAAAAACCGAAAGAAATATCGGGAAAAACAAACAAAACAGAAATCGGGGGATCGGGAATATATATGCGGACTGGCTATCTGAAGGACCGATTATATATCCACGATGTCTGCGCAGCGCTATCTATCGACATTGACTGCAAAGAGAGAGGTTTTACCATGTAGTTAGCTTATATCTTCTAGTTCCAGTCAAATTGGACAATCTTCAGCTTTAACTTTAACTAAGTTTTAATATTGTTTTTTTTTTTGGAATTCGTGGCACTGACGTGTGCATTTGCATGTGTGTGTGTGCTGTGTGGTTGCGTGTATCCATGTGTGCGTGCGTGTGTTTTGTTTGCTGTTTTTTTCAGCCGTTTTACACCGATTTTTTAGTAGGCTATAGAGTTTTCAGTCAATGGCAAATCGATTTGACTAGAAGAACTTCCATAAAATTAAGCTGACAAGCGTATATTTACCAATTCTAATTAATGCCAGCGTAAAAACAATGCAAAACAGGGCTGCGCGAACAACTGAATTGTTATATTCAGCCTTGGTACATTCGTAGTGAATGGCAAAGTTTATTAAGTGTTGGGTAACTTCAGGCTCTCTTAGGCGTTTTACAGCACTGTGATTCTTTTAGTTTTAAATTTTTCTTAAATATTTGCCAGAAATATTATTAGCACCAGCAATTGGAGAACATAATTAAAAATAAATATTAATATAATTCAATAATTTATAATTAAGAGGTATATCACATATTTAATTGCTTAGCAATATAATTTTTTAATATATTTAATAAATCAAAATAAAAAAAAAAGCGACTTTAGTAGAATTATAAAAATAGGCAAATAAATCAAAATATCAAAAATGCCCCTTCTAATTAACGAACCTTATTAAAAACGAGTTTGTAAAGTACAAATATTATGTTTTATTTTTACAAACACTTTTCGGTGTTTTTAACATTTTTTCGTTTACAAGTGCATAAACAATGATTTTATATTATTAACACAGTTGCAAAAACACAATATAAGCCTCAGGTAAATGCTTAAACAGCTAACAATTTTGAACTACAATATGTTAAACATACAATACAATAAGTGAGCTATATAAAAACTGATAATAGACATAACAGACACTTAAGTACATACAAAATATCGTCGTCACAGAAGCGCCTAGAGATTTTGGCTTTAAAATCTGGCAAAAAAAAAAAAAAACTATTTCTTTTGAAGGTTTCTAGAAGAGTTATGGTGTAAGGAACAATTTGAGTTATGGGTTTTTGGAAGAGATTTCTTTAGGTGATTCCTGAGTTAGTTGGGCATTTTTAGAACCTCAATAACGGCCACATGTCCACCGCGTTCCGCATAATCCAAGGCGGTCAGGCCGAGCATGTCCTTCTCCTGGGGATTCTCGAAATATGGGAGGACATGTTGCACCACCTCGGGATAGCCATGGAGTGCAGCCACATGCAAGGCTGTCCTGCCCGAAGGATCCGCCTGCGAAAGATCGGCGCCGGCAAACTGATAGGACCTCAATCGCATCATCGATCCTCGAGCAGCTGCCGCACACAGTTGTTCGCCCACGGCCCGGGAAGAACCCGTCAAATGGGCACCGCAATTGATGAGCAACTGGATGATCTCGTGGCTGTCGGTCGAGACGGCCTCCAGCAGCGGTGTGCGATCGTAGCGATCCCTCACATGCACGGACACTCCGTTCTGCAGCAGGTACTTGACGATCTCCACGTTGCCCAGTTGACAGGCCAAATGCAACGCAGTCCGCTGATCATGGTTCGTTCCCGATAGATCGGCTCCATAGGCCTTCAGATTGTTGATCTTCTTGGGATCGCCCTCGGCCACAGCGGCGTTTATCATCGCCGGAAACAGAGTCTCGCCCAGTTGATCCAGTTCCTGGGGCGAGGACAAGTGCAGGGAGCGGGCCACTGCATCCACCAGGTCGAAGTCCTCTATTTTGGGTGCCTTCAAGGCGGTCAGTTCGCCCCTCAGGTTCGACTGCATCATCTGAAATATATCAAGTTGTGATTCAATTAGGTTTTCTGGATAAATTAAATGATATAGACATATTTTAAGATCATATTTTACACAATATAATACATTAAAAATATGATTATAATTATATGTTATGTTTATGTTTATTTTTATGGCAGTATTGTCCTTATCTGTTCAAAAATAGTACGAACAATCGTCAAAAATTTTATTATGGTATGTCAATTTTAAGGGAGATCCTTTTAAAAAGCAGAATTTTAATGTTTTTTTTTAACTTAAATAATTTTACACTTTTTTCTTACACATTTAATACACATTAAATTTAAAAAACATAAATAAGAATTTAGTATCAATTTAAAGGATTTCCTCTCAAAAAACAGAATTTACCTGTTATTTAAAATTATGTTTTTGATAAATTTTACAATTTGAATATACATTTAGTTCGAAAAACATAATATAAGAATTATCTAATTCTATGTTATTATTTTTATGTTAGTTAATTGATATAAAACAACAAGAGATCAACTAGAATTACATGGTATATCAATTTTGATGCAAATTTGAAAGGAAACTGTGAATTTACCTGCTTTTTGACCTCCAGTGACCACTCCTCCTTGCCGATGACATAGGCCAGTTTGGAAAGCGCCGCCTCGGGAGTCATGTCGTATCCGGGAATCACGCCCAGATCGCAAAGGACTTTGCCCGTATCGTAGATCTCGGCGACGGTTCCATTGGGACACTGGGTGCAATTGATGATGATCACACCCCTTTCGTCGGCCGCACGCAGTTCATCGATCAGATCCGTTCGGTTCGATGGGATGTTGCCGGAGCCAAAGGATTGCAGGACCACTCCTCGTATAGGTGGTGCCAAAAATGCCCGAAATGTCGAATGCGAGATGCTCGGAAAGATACGCAGCAAACCGACATTCTCGTCCAGATTCAAGTGTACAGTGAACCGTTCAATGCTGCATGGCCGAAAGATCTGGCGATAGTCCACATTCACATCTATGCCGATCCTCGCCAGCGGTGGAACATTTGGCGAATCGAAGGCATCCAAGGTATTCGAACTGACCTTCACCGTCCGATTGCCACGCATTAACTTGTGCCCAAAGAAGATGCACACCTCCGGAATAATGTAGTTACCGGCTATAATTAGAGCCGACGTAAAATTATCCTTGCCATCGGTTCGCGTCTCAAAAATCGGAATTTGGGAGCCCGTAATGATCACGGTCTTGCCCAGATTCTCCAGCATAAAGGACAAAGCGGAGGCTGTGTAGGAAAGTGTGTCGGTGCCATGAAGAACCACAAAACCATCGAAAAACTCGTAGGATTGCTGAAATAAAAAAAAATTGCTTATTAATTATAACCTTTACAAGCATTTTATTTTATGATTCCTACCTGAATATCACTGGCGATTCGGGCCCAATCGTTCATGGTCATATTGCTGCTGTCCAGTAGAGGTGTATATTCCGAGACCTGGTAAATAATCCTGCGATCCACGCCCTGAACGAATGGTAAAACCAGTGGAGCCATTGATGCAGATGCTCCAAAGCGACGCAACGCGTATTCCTCGTCGTGGATGTTGGGATATTTTCGAATGCTGCGCACCAAGGCATTGGGAATGGGAGCCAGCACTAAAATGGTAACAAAAAACATTAGTTTTTGTAATAAAATCAGAAAAACACTGATTAACTGGTTTATTGAAATGTTTCCGTATTAATAAAATTAAACCTTTAGTTTCTAATTTGATCTTATTTATTTCCAAGTAGCAATATATATATTGTATTCTAGTAATATATATATAATAATTCTAGGAGACAGAAAGAAGTACATTACCTTACTATGTTATTAAAATTAAAACTACATTTTCCATATTTCGATCGATTATATATGATGTACTTGCCATATTCAAGGACTTTGTTGAGCACATTTTTGCATGTCCTTCGGCAATTCAAATGAGCTTTTTACGAGCAAAAGACATTTTTATTCTGGGCGTAATTTGAAAAGAAGGGGAAATTGCAAATCATCATTCGGTCATTGTTTTCATTGACATTGTTTAAGGTCTCCATTAAACCGCACACATTTTTCCTTAAACTAAATTAACTGATAGATGGTTTTGGCAAATTGTTTTGTGTTTCCAAGAAAAGCAAATTTATGTTCAACAAATATTTTATTTCTTTTAGGTTTTTTGTTTATAAAGAAACCAGTTTCCATTTCACCAATCCCTCAGCTATTTAAATTACTTAGTATTTACCTCTTCGAAAATAATTTAAAAATGTACTCTTTATTTGTCAATCAATATAATTTGAACGCAGCGTAATCGCTTATTTGTCTAATAATCAGTCAAGTTTAAAATTATTGTTTTTTTCAATGCCAGATCATTAGAATACGTAATACAAAACTAATGAATACTATACGTATACAATTGTTAAAATCAACAAGCGGCAATCTGTTTATTATTTCAACGAATGCCTTTTGTATATATGGCGTCTAAATAAGAAGGGAAAAAGTGATTAGGTAAACAAATTTTTATTATTTCTACTGCCTTTTTTATATATGGCGTCTAAATGAGAAGGGAAATAAAGGCTTAGGTACACGAGAACCTAATTGGGTACATTAAGTTATCCATATTCTTGAACTTATCAGTTTTTAAATATGAAATGTCATTCTGTATTCAATCAAACCTTCGCTTAGAAACCTACCCAAAATATTTTATCATTCATTTTATCTGGGTATATTTTTGGGACTGACCTTGGTAAAAAAAAAATATAAAAGATAACTATACATATTTCATTTGATAAAATATCCAGTTTAGTTGTTGATTTTGGGTTTTGTATGCGAATTAATATTAAGGGTGTATTAAATCAAATAAAAACAATTTTAATACATACGCAAATGTGATTTCCGGCTTAAAAAAGTCCCTAATTTTTTAAAATTTATGTATTAGTATTAAAGCTATTAAACTATTAAATTACCTAAAACTCAAAACTAAATAATGATTGCTAGGGCTGTTAAAATAGATATAGTTTCGATACTTTTATAAAAAAATTCAACTGTAAAAATATCAAAATTCCCAAATAAGTTAATTATGATTCTACTTTAAATAACCAATAATTAATTAAATAAATATAGTTTTAAGACTTTTCAAAGATAGTGTACTTGAATAATATTTAAATCCCCATATAAGGTTTGTATGATTGCGATTTAAATAATGATTCATAAATATATATTTTTTAAAAAACAATTTAATATTTAAAATTAAATGATAAGAAATTTCGATATGGGGCACTTTTTTTTGGATAGTTTACCATTCCGTTCGTTGCGCACCATCCCGATGGTTCCGCCCGTATAGATGACCTTCACCCGGGCCTCCTTGACGTCCTGGGCCATCAGCTTGCCGTCACTCTTATTCCGCCGGATCGTGGGACTCGGCAGAGTGGGTGAAGCGGGGGGCATACTCTTGTCCAGCGAAGTGAGCCTCTCATGACCATTGGTCTTCAGCATGGGAATCTCCATTCCGTTCGCGGTCATGGTTGACTATATAATAAACAAACTTAAGGAACAGAGCACCGGTCTTATCACTAGATTTTCAGATAGTTTCGCTTCGTTTCGGGGAGGGGGCGTGAACAGAAAATCCATTAACAGCCCGTGGTGTCCGTATTATTTGGCCAACTCGTTATCGGTTTAATCCGGATCTTTATACATATATTATAATCCGCGGGGGGCCTTTGGGGAGCACGTGGTTTTATTTTATTATTTTATTTTATTTTATTCTGGTTCTGTTCTTTCGAAAAGGAAATTGAAACGGAAAGTCCGAAATCACGGCGGCGCAATCACTTATTAAGATAAGAAAACCAACCGTAAAGACTTTGGCCCACGACGTACATGACTAATCTAATGAAATTCAAATGACAATCCGCTGATTGCAATATTTTGACCATAAATAAACACACAATCAGCTGGTTGACTATCGATAGAGGTACATACGTGTTTGTTCTCGTTTTCTCTTAAAATGTAACCGTTTTCACCGAAATCTAAGGAGAATCTCTAATATTCTTTCACTTGTTTGTTTTACGCAAAATATAAAATTATTTTTTTGCTTTTATTAAATTTTCTATTTTTGGACAAAATCTCTCCCTTTTTTCTATTGATTTGTTTACTAATTTTCTAATATTTTTCTATCGATGCGGTAACACTATCTGCGGCGTTGCCAGATAAGGTTATATTAATAAATTGCTTTAAAAAAAGCTAAAATCTTAAAATATAAATTTAAGATAAGCACGTAAATATTTTAACTACGAACTAATTGATTATTTTCACTGACTAAGTAAATGGCAGACTTCCCATTTATGTATTAATAATATACTAAATGTATTCTCAATTGCCTAATGATTATTATCAACATACTGATAATATGTCTAGTAGGCGATTTTAATATTCATAATCGAATTATTGTTAAAAATGAGATTTTTCTAACATATGATATGATTTAGATGAAATTAATAAAATAGTTAGTTTTCAGTATAACTTTTTACATATATTTCTAACGTTAAAATAGCCAAAAAAAAAGCTAAGCTCTAAACGTCTGGCAGCCCCGAAAAGCTTTCCCAAATCTGGCAGCCCACAGGCCCGTTATAATGGCGGTAAAAATGCAAAAATGCGACAAAGTTCACAACTCGTAAATTGTTTTATATATTAGTGAAACATTAATAATTAAATAAAGTATAGCATTCCCTTGGCAAATGACGCAGTGCGCTAAAGTTCGTTGTGGGCGTGACTGACGGGCAAATGTGGCTGCAAATCCCTCCAAAAATCGGCACGCTGCTGCATTAATTCATTTTCTAAGCGGAAGATGGTCGAGGAATCCTCGATTTTGGTCCCCAAACGGGCATATTCCACTGGATAACCGGACGCAGGACTCCAGGTGGGCAAATTGAAGCTGGCATTCGTAGGATTTGGATTGCTATAATGTAGAAGCAACCATTAGTTTCCCGTTACAACGCCATTTTTTTTTTATGGTACACCTTACCCGGTTTTCGCAAAGCTAACCCACAAATGGAGCATCAATTCGCGAAGTTTCAGATCCTTTTCCGTCGGCACGGCACTCACAAACAGCTCCCGGCCAATGGGGAATAAATACTGGAGCTCTTCGGCATGACACGCCCCGTAAAACTCATTACGGCCGCCCTTGAAAATCTCTGTAAAACTGGCGGCACCCTTGTGATCGAACAGGTAGACATATGTGGGTGCCACGCCCCCTTGGGACATACGGAGGCGCAAGTACTCATCGATTCCGGCCACAAACCATCCATCCGAAATCAGCTAAAAAGGGTAAGAAATATGGGAAACGTTGGGTTATAAATAGTCCAAATAATTAATTGGACTCTTTCGATTGTTTTTTTGTATAATGCTTTTAAAATTTTGATTTAAAATCATGCTTATTGGTAGTATTTTGAACTTACATCAGTCAAATTTTGATGGTTGGTCTTATCGTAATCGTGGCCTGCCTTGAAGTAAAAGCTCTCGATGCGCTGCGTTATCCTCTGCTGAACGGAGTCCTCATGGTGATCGTAGTTCAGCACAACGGGCAGGACCTGGCCAAACTGGGCCTTGAATTCGGCCAACAGCTGGGGAAGATTGAGCAGGGCGGCGGTCTTCAAGAGTCCCTCTTCGGCGGTGGCGCCCACAAGGAGTGGCAATTCCAATCCATGGGGTTTAAGCGCCTGGCGCGGTGGAACCGTGAGGAAGGCGCCCTCGTGCTCCGGTTCGATCACCGGGGGAAAAGGTATCATCGGGTCAAAGTCCCAGACCTTCAAAAAGAATAAAGCTTCATTGTAAATACAGCTTTCCCTTCTCCTAATTTGTTTAATACTGACTTAAATGCATGTATTGTATTGGTCAACTTTTGTCAACAAAAGTTGCAAAGGTCTAGTTTATTTGTTAATTATAACAAAAGTATTTTTAATTTTCATTGATTTTGATTTGAATTGGCTTGTTGGCAATAATTTAAACTTTTGTAATTCAAAGTACATACATTTTTTCAAATATGAAATTGGTTAAATAGTTTTTGAAATGACATCTTGTTTTCACTATCACGCCTTTAATGAATTGACAAATTTAAAGAAAAGAAAATTATATGCATACATTTTCCTTTCTTGCAAATTAAGTTTGAAGTCTCTCCGAACAATATTTTAAAAGTCTATAAGTTTTTACAATTATAATTACGCGAATTTAATTTATCACACTTGAAAAGGGGGTTTTTTGTAATATATGTACAATCTAGTTATCTGAAAAAAATAGTGTGCTATTTAAGTAATTTCTTCCTGAGTTCTGTGACTTTAGTTTTCTCTGGTATTAATTATTTGTAATTTCTTTTACTGTAACAAAAGAGAAGCATACGATAACTTACAAACATGTCGTATAGGGAGGCCACGATGTCCTCGGCCGGCCTTTCCCGCAGGCACTCGAGTTTTTGCGGCCATTCTTTGGCGGAGCCGCAACCCACCAACTCAGCCAATTTAGTGGCCCTTGCAGCAGCCACTCCTTTATGAGCAGGCTGAGCCCAGGGATTGAAATATGTGCCGGATTGGGCGATGCCACGATGCAGTAAGCCGCGAGACTTCTCCGACAGCATGTGATAGGTGACACTGGCGCCTCCAGCGCTCTCGCCAAAGACCGTCACACTATTGGGATCACCGCCGAAGGAACCTATATTGGCACGTACCCAGCGCAAAACCTCCAGTTGATCCTTCAGCCCATTGTTACCGGGACAATCGACCGTCTCTGTGCTGAGGAAACCCAACGGACCCAGTCGAAAGTTGGCCGAAACCAAGACGACATCGTGATCGAGCAGAAAATCTGGTCCGTAGAAGCTGCTGATTCCGGAGCCACACTGCCAGCCGCCGCCATGGAACCACACCATCACGGGCAAGGAGCCATTCATCTTTGGCGTCTCCGGCGTGTAGACATTCAGATACAGACAATCCTCGGATCCCTCGATGATCATGTCGCGACGAAAGGGATCGCGCTGCAGGCAGATGGGTGCATCCTTGATGGCCAAACGTTCGCCCTCCCAGGCGGCCTTTGCCACTGGCGGACGGAAGCGAAGATCGCCGAGTGGCGGCTCTGCGTACGGGACACCCATAAATGCCCGCATATGCCGACCGTTGTGGGTGGTCAAATGGCGACCGATCAACCAACCGCCGTGGGACAAACGCACGTGCAAACACTGCGAATTGCGTCCATCGCTCCACTGGACTCCACAGATGCACACCAACAGAACCAACAGTATCACCCGAATCATCGTGGCCGCGCTTGAGGTTCGACTTCAGACTGATTTCGCGGCTGCATAGCACGCGTAGTTTTAATATTACAACATCATCAGTCTCAGCTGGAGAGTCTGCGAACTTGTTTACCGAATTTTTCGTTTTTTTTGGCCGCCCGTCTCTTAACTCATTAATTCTGCTTATTTTTCATACCCCTCCACGCAGTATTTTAAATATCTTACCTGTTTTCGGTTTTAAAATTCATGTTTTAAAAGCAAATGTTTATCACATTATAGGAAACCTTTTATTAATATTTTATAGAAACAGTTCAATTACCCCGATTACAATTTTTTTTCAATGTATGTAAAACATAGACCCCTGTTTAAGTTAAAATTTTACTGAATTTTTCTTATTATTCTCGTTTTTTTTTATATCTAATATGTTCTTTTTTATTTTTAAGAAACTATATTACAACTGGAAGAGTATATAGATGTCAATGTCCACACAACGATATATTTTTTGCCACTTAGCATCGTAATCAGCAGCAACATCGCCATCAGCACAACATCAAGCATCGACATCCATTTCAGGTGTTTAAGTTTCGTTTTGGAACACTGCGCAAATTTGGTTAAATCAAGCCGTAAAACTGTGGTTTGAGGTGTGTCAGTAAGTCACATATGTCGGGTATTGTAATTGAGTATCGTATTATTTTTTAAACGCTTTCACATTCATATAATTTCATATTTTATTAGCAGGTTGTTGTGCTTTTTGAATGTTGGATATATGAATTGAATTGTCTCATGCTTCGACATTTGATGGAATGGAAACTAATGTTCAAGAATAAAAGCAATTACAAATAATGGAAAGGGTAAGTGACTATTTTATATACTTTTCTTTGAAATTCCCAAATTGATTAATAATAGAATTCTGTATACATTGCTTTAAAAATAAGTTTTTCGCTTACTATTTTTTTCTACTGGGGATATTATAATGAAAGGCTATTAATTTTTATTCGAATGATTCATCATTATACATTTTTGTAATGTTTTTTACTACTTCTAAATCCACTGTTTGTGCCTTAATGATTTAATTTGTTCAACGTTGGTCTGTCAATGACAAGGCATATTAAGTAGAGAACGCGAAAATGATACTACAACTATAATATATTACCTGCTGATTTTGAGCAGATGCAGATAGCATTCCCCGGTTTGAAACGCTGTTATAACGATCGTATCATTGGCCTTGGATTGCTAAAATCGGCCTAAACAGAACTTGTTATGTAAAATTTTGAGATATTAGGCGTTCAAATATAAGTTATTTGATATTATTTTGTCTCTCATAAATTTTAATAAATTTTTAAATTGATCTATAATTTTTCGAGTGCTTAAAAAAAACCCTAAGGGAAGGCAGCATCATTGATTAAGTTATATGCTAATTTAACATTTTACAAATTCATCTAAGCATATTTATGGGCATGAAAAATATTTTGAGAGAGTCGAGCCCACAAAACCAAATAAAAACCAAAGCAAAACCGAAAACTTGAAAGTTGTTAAAACAGAATAAAAATGCGAGATGAAATGCGATGTGAGATGAAGAAGCGCTCTTAAAAAATGCCTTTGCATGCCATAAAAATGCCGTCGAGCTAATAGGTCCCTTTGAAGTTACCAAAAGAGAGCTGCCGATGAGCCAGGACAAACAAAAAAATGTACAAAATTGGGGAATTTCTAATAGAGTTGGCTGGCTCACAACTTTCCAAACGGGGAGAAGTCCCTTTTTAATTCATAACCTGACTTGAAGTTACCTTTTTCGGAACTAATATGCGACATGCACCACCCCGAAACCACCTTTTTTCCATCCTGACAAATGTCCAGGCCAAGCACACAGATTTATTTAGCTGCAAACAATTTTAATCCACTTGAGTGCCAATTTATCAGCCGGCGAACAAACAAACAACTTCTAATGTCCAAACCAAATTGATATGTAACTATGTATATATATACATTTATATGGTTGTATATGGGAGAAGGGCAATGGTGACTCAAGGACTTAATTCATTTCTCTCATTCAAAACAAATATAAATATATAAAAAGCTAGTACTATAATCCCTTTGAGTCAAAATAAAACTGGTAGCTGACCGGTCTGGCTAGGTATTCTTCAACAAAAAATACCTTGAACCGGTTTATAATTTGCTCCATTTGTATATGAAATTATTATTTGCTGTTAAATGGTAAATAATGAATTTCACAAAATTTTGATTTAAAATGTTATATTTTTTATAAGGAAATAATAGCTATTTTAATAGCTGTTTGTAAAGTTTTAATTTTATTAACAACATTCTGTGACTTGGTTTAGCCAAGTTTTATTTATTGTCACCTGAGCCATGTAATCACTTGACCTAGAACTGGTTTTTACAATTTTACCCCAAAAATCTTCATCATTTTAAGGCACTTTAGTTTATATTTCAACATATTTTCAATTTAAATTTGTTGAATTTGAAGTAAACAAAACGGGAAAAACTCTTGGGGTTGACAAGAAACCCTTTTTGCGGCGAAGGTGTAAAGGGGATTTGCTGCCCAACAGCGAAATGGAAAATGATTTATTGAAGGTGAAATATTTATTGTTGTTTTTTTTTTTTCGTTTTTTTTTTTGCACGACTGTTGAGCTGTTGTGTTTCGGTTTTGTTTCCACTGTAAACAATGGCTATGCTATGCGGCATCTTTTCAGTTCTTTCCACCTCCTTCGACATACAAAAAAAAAGTGAAATAATTATTAACAAAAACAAGCGGCAAACATGGAACAACAGATGCGAACCCTCATCCCTTCCTTAAATATTTATTTATTCTGCGTTTTGGGTCAATTCCTCTGGTTTCATTTAATTAAAAAGAAAAGCCAACTCGCGAGGCATAATATCATAACAAAAAAAAAAAGAGGAAAAGGGAATATAAATATCCAGATCCAGTCACATGCATGGATATCTGGGTGTCCTTTTTGGCTGCCGCCCGGCTTGTCCTTGTATTTACTTAGGATCAGGTGGTGAGCCCCCATACCATCGCCGATTTTTACCAACAATGCCAAGAAGCCGCCGCGGCTGGCGAAGCCAAAATTTCAATTTCGCGGTTGCTGCATATTTTCCCAGCCTTTATTTTCTCCACTTTGCTTTTGACTTTGCCAACAAGGGACAAGCCACTTTGGGCAATGGAATTTAAACGAATTTTTAAACAGGCCAAGTTCCCACTCCAGCTCCCCCGATTTTTCCTGCCCATCATTTTAACTTTAAAGACTTCGCCCAAAAAAAAAAAAAAACAGCAGAATACAGAGCTTATGCGATAATTGGCCACTAGGAAATGTCGATGATGTTGAATCGGGAAATGCAAATTGCCAATGTCCGGAACGGGCTTAGCCGCCTAAGTCCAATAACCAAAAAAAAAACTTTGACTGTGGGCTTAGTTTCCGGCGACCTGACATGGATCAGTTTAAGCGTTCCAAGTCGGAGCCAACAAATTGATATGCAGCAGATGTTGCCAGGTTTACATCCATAATAGTAATAATAACCAGAGGTCAGGCAAAGTTTGGCAATCAGAAGTTCGGATACGCTTACCGCCAAAAACGAGAAATACTGGGGGAAATACCTTGGAATATTTAAATATATTGGTTTTAAAACCACTAATGAAAGTGTCGATTTCTGCTATTTAATGTCATTTAATATTGTAAATTTTTTTTTTATAAGTCTTGTCAAAACATTTTCAATTTTAAAATGTTGTTGAAGAAATTACTTGTTTTGAAATTACTAATAAAAAGGTGCCCAAAAGTAGGCAGTAAATAAATGTATGTCGTCGTTTGAACTAAATCCAACCGACTTCTAGGTGTTCAATATATTATTGCATACTTTTACACACCTTTATAAATAGTTTCAAAACAATTGTGTTTTCTGTGGCACCTCTACCAATAATATTATACAAGAGCAATTATGAACCCATTTGACCCTTTCAAGGGAAAGGGTATGTTTAGGAAAATATCAAATATAAAGAGCAACTTCGGATTCCCAGTCAGATTCAGGGGTATTGGTGTGGATGTGGATGTGGATGTCGAAGCCTGTCAGAGGGATTAGCTCGCCTGATTGGACACGATGTGATTAACTTGTCGTCAACGCGGTGACTCTGAATCTGAATCCGACTTTGGATTTCCCGCTGACTGTGACGTCGACACGTTCCACGCAGCTTCACCACAGCATCCACCCATTTTGATGGGTCGCACGATCCCACCACCCCACCACCACACCACCACACCACCCACTAATTCACCCAACCACCCAAACCATCTCCTGTCCTTGCTAAACAAAAGTGCAAACATTGACAGACGGCTAACGAGAGGAGTGGGTGGGTGGGTTGTCGCAAAAAGAGTGGGTGTTGCGGAATTGCCAGGCCAAAATTAACCCATTACGCACTCCATTAACGCAGTTTGCCTATGCATGTGGGCCCCGGCTAATTAGTTGTGGCAGCTGATGCTCCACACTCCCGATACTCCTGATATTCCCGGCACATGTGTAGTTAATACAATTACCGACGACAGACAGGCGAAATGCCACTCGCAAATCTAGTTATTCAGCTTGGTTTAGTACAAATCGAATGCATCACGCATTGGCACAACAGCCTAATTAATTTCATGTTCCAAAATAAAAATTAGGGAACACAAAGTATTGAAAAATGCTCTATTTAAACGAAAAAAAGTTTTTCTGCTTTCGGCACTAAAATATATTAAATCGCTTAAGATTTTTGTGGGTCTCCTATAATTTTAATTAGTGCTTCTAAACTAAAATCCATTTCATTTAAAAGGATTAGTTATAAATTCTATATTAAAACAAAATAAATATATGGAATTACAAAGTATTTGAAAATATTATTTTCAAAAATCCAAACTTTTTACATCTTAAATTAAATTTTCTTCAGCTGTAAAACATTACTATTTTTTACTCGACATGTAATCAATATTAATATTGATTATAATAAATTAAATGTATAATAATTGTTAATAGCATTTCAAAACGTAAATCTAT